ACAGTGTATAAATCAGTTAAAAATTAAATAAGCGAGCAGAGCAAAATACTGTGTTTATCCGCTGTTCGTTAGCTATTTCACTCGCGGATTAGATACCAATTCGATTTAATTCGGAACATTACGTAACCGATGTAATTAAAAATACACGTCCATTCGCAGTAAACATCGGATACGAAAGAGTAAAACGCCGCCGGTCTATCGTGCGGCTTGCTTGCTTTAACGTTGCTTACGACTATTGCGATGTTTCGATCCGGCAGAGAGGAGGAGGGTCGTCGAATTACGCGGTAAATTCGGTATACCGATCGGCCGTACGGAAATTACGGGGGAAGTATCCGTGATATTTTTAACCACCACCGTCTGGTGTTCGTCGCCGATCACCGAGACGAAAAATTTGACTAGGTGGCAGGTACGTAACTTTTAATACTCCAGGGGTGCGCGGGGAAGGACGGGACGGGGGTCCCGGTACGTGTACGTATCTCGTCGGGGATTAAAAATAACTAAGACACGTGTGTAATATGCTCTTTCACTGTTTGGCGGCTGGAAATATATACATAGCGCGCCGCGTCGATCCCGCTGCTCTCCTCCCCTTTTTTTGCTCTCCGTCTTTTTTTTTCCCTAAACTTTCGCGCGCTCTATTCATCCGCGAGTAAATATCGAACCCTATATTAACGGACGTATATAGAGACTATATCGGGTGTCGCGAGACCACCGGGAATGCCTTTTCAACCGTAGGAAGCAGAGATGAGAAGCAGAGATAGGAAAAGTGATTCTTGAAGTTGCGGAATTATTTAATATCGAGAATAAAAGAGCTGCGGCGAAGTAAGAAAAGAATATTTGCAAAAACGAATAATAGATATTTTCACGAGAGTTGCAATTAAATGATGAAAATATATCTTCAATTTATTTAGTAATAATCTGCGATCAGTCATAATCGAATATTCACTTATTTAAAATTTAAAATATACGCCCCAATGTATTTTTTTCCAAGATATTCATGGCACTCGACGCGTTGCACCGAATCCAAAAAATTAACATTTGGAGTTGCGAATTGGCTCGCGTCGCGACGTGGCTTCGCGCGTGTCGCGCTTCTGCAACGCGAGTCGCAAATAATAGTTACCGGATGATATATAAACGTTATTCGATTTATTTATAACCATTAGACATTATACGGATCGTATTTTTAACCAGTTCACAGCCCGATGACGGAAAGGGATTGCCAAGTGTGTTATTTATATTCCGCGACCAAAGACGAAGGAACAATAGCCGGAATGCGAAATTCTCCATCGGAACAAACGGATATCTCTGCGAGAATATACGCACGCAGAGGTATACACCTCAAATATGTGGAGCGGAGAATAGAAGAGTGAATTATTAACCCAGCTCCCGATAACACGTATCACGTTTCTATATTGAGAGTACGCAACCTACACACATCACATTTTTTCGCACAAAAGATAAGATAAACTTTATGGAGAAACAAATACATAAACATGAGCTTTTTTTCTTTTCGAAGCGAATTGCAATAATAATAAAATATATCGATACATTGCCTTAATAATTAATTGCAATCAATAGAAATTATACCACACAGTTCAAATCGTTTAAAATTAAGTCAATGTGATATAAAATACTATCAAATAACCGAATAAATTTCTGACGAAGTCTAGTAAAATATTTTGATGGAAATAATTCAGTGAAAAATACCGTATAATGAAGTCAAGAATCGACGACGAAAGAAATACGATCGGTTCCAACACGGAGGATGCGGCCAGCATCGATTAATCGATCAAGTGCGGCTCGTCCCTGCTCTGTTGCTTTCATGGGGCGCGCGTCTGACATCGACTGTCTATTTCTACTTGCAGCGGTTACGCGCTCGACTTTCCCATCTCCCGGGAACGAGACACGAGCCGCGCACGGTTTCGAGTCTCACGTCGCAATTCTACATCCTATAAACAAGTCGCGGGAATCCTTGACAGACTGGCCAACCGTTATCCCGACGGCGTTATTAACCCTTAATCGGTCTTCGTATATCTTGGCGTACGTCCCGGCGGAAAAATCATTCTTGCTCTCTCTCTCTCTCTCTCTCTCTCGTGACAGTTTGGCAGAACTCGCGCTACGCGTAGCCATAGGAAGTTTATCTTGCCTAATTATACAGCGATTCGACTGTCAGCCGTCGAAAAAAACGAGTCGCTTGACTTTAAGAGAAGTTCGAAATATTATTTTTAATGTTGTAAGCGATATTAAAAATATTTTCGTAAGATATAAAACTCTATTATTTCGTCACGGCAAAGCGTCTTTTCTTGAATTCCTTTTGTGTATTTTTCTGTGCAAGATGTAGTAACAATACGTTCCGAAAAGCGAGAAGAATTTTAATACAGTACCGATCGATTGTCGAGATATAAATCAGTATTCGTATAGCTCGCAAAAATTTTCACATCTTCTATTCTGATATATAAAAATTTCTGCCATCCTTTCAAATAATTTCGCAGATATATTTTTCATCGCAAGGTTCAGAAATAAAATGACAAGAAAAATAGGGGCATTCTTACATACGCACATCGCTGATTGACAATCATTTATATTTCAGCCAGCGATCGTTAAGAGTGTCGTTATGTTATTTGACAGATGGTCTATTTCGCCAAAAAAAAGCGCGCGTTCGCCACGGCGAGACGGCGCTCGGGTGGGCGTCCAAGTTCTATCAATGTACAGCGGGGCGCACAGTAATCCGCTAAACATTTTGATGCCCCGCGATGGGCGGAAAAATAAACGGCGACCGCATCCCGTCGACACGCGCGCGTTAAATCGCCGTCGAGGAAGACGGAGCGCGAAAGAGAAGAGAGGAGAGAAGGCGCGTGCGATGTCGGACGGACGCGCGCGCGGTTCAATACCAAATTCCGACCGTCGTCGGCAGCACCGAAATAACTTAACGGCCTCCGTGTTCAAGCATTTCCTATACGGCGCGAACATCCTCTTTTTTTCCCCCCTCGCCGTCGTCCTCGTCGTCTGGCTGCACGGGCCCGACGTCCGACGTCGACGGCGAACGAGATCCGTCGATGTGCGCGCGGGCTTCGCACGTGCGTAATTATTAGCGACCCTTTATCGATTCGTCGAGGCAGTTTCGTCGTGGCGAGCGAACGAGCGAACGAACGAACGAACGAACGAACGAACGAACGAACGTACGAACGAGCGAACGAGCGGCTGTCAAAGGTTGGGTATATTTCCTCGGCAAGTGAGTCTAGGTCACCCGTATCGGGTCGATACCACGAAAGCGGGACAAAGGCGAGTCTTCGACTGTGCCTCACGCGTATTACAGTCGGAGTTGACCAGAAACTGATGCTCGCGTCCGTTCAACGAGCGATAAAAAAACCCGTCGGTCTCTCTCCCTTCCTCCCTCTGTTGCTCCGCGAGAGAGATCTCGCGTCAGAGGTGGATTCTGTGTCACCGGAAACTAACCGAAGCACCTTTTTCTATGCATGCAACGCGATGCGAAAGATGCGCGGTGCCGATCGCGCGCGAACATGTGCGACATGCAATGCACGCATGCAAAATTAACTGCTTCGACGAGGTCGTCCAACCGTGTCTAATCTTTTCCGCGAATTTGAGAGCCCAATCGTAAAATTCGTCTGTCGAGTCGATGAATCATCGTCCACGCGATGTACGTTGAGGAATTTCGATTCGGCGTAAACACTATTAAGAAACTGTTTGGGAAGAAATATTACATTTGTACACTTTCCACGTAAAACCGCGAAGATTAGAGATTTATAAAATCGCGCAGCTGTATTTTCTGTCTCTCTCTCTCTCTCCCTCTCTTTTCAGGTTCACGTTCGGGTCGCGTGATGGATTGAGTTTTTAGGGAGAATTCGAGGGAGATTTTGGACAAGAAAATGCTCAACATCGCTCACCGAGTGAACGTGGAAAAATCTCGTCGACGATCGCGAGGAGCTCCGAGACTCCGAGCGACGAGCTGGGCGACACGAACTCGCAGAGCCGAATAACGGGGTCAATCTGACGGGGTCGCGGATTCCGCGAATCCTCGACGTCGGAATCTCGCTGCTACCCGGCGTATCTCGCGTGGTGGCATACACACGACCGGTTTACATCCCTAATCGAAACGGTTTCTCTCGACAATGCGCCTGCTCGATCCCGGGGCACGCGTCATGTACAAGTTTCTCTCTCGCTCTCTCTCTTTCTCCGATTTTGTCCGTTGCTCTCTCTTTCTCGTTTGCTCTTTCAGGGTCCGCGCTGGCAGGTCTGCTGGCACTCCCGAAATAATGTTCGGAAGAACGGCAAAGCGCAGGGGAGAGGAACAGAGAGGAAAGGTGAGGGCCGGGGAGGGAGGAAGGATCGAGGAGGGGACCAGATCGTGATATCCAGAGGAGGAAGATGAGAAAGGCGAACGGAACAAGAAACGCCCGGATTGAGCGCGCGTTACATAATTTTCGTAACTCCACGAAGGAACGGAGGAGGGCAGCGCGGGTTGGTGGGGATGGGAGTGGACGATGGTCGACGGCGAGAAGCTCCCTCGAGGTGTTCTGTGCGAAAGGAGAGATAAACAGAGAGGGTAAAAAAAACGAGAGAGAGAGAGGGAGAACAATCGACAGCGAGGTGGGCATGTGCGTGCCTGCGTGGATAGGTAAATGGATGGATGGATAAATGGCACGGGAGAAATAATGAAGAGGAGATGAGCAAAAAGGTAAAAGTGGAAAAAATGTATACAGTGAAATAGAGAGAAAAGAATATACACAAAAAAAAAAGAAAACAAGAGCGAAGGAAAGAGAAAAATAGGGATGAGCGAAAGAGGGTGGAAAATGCAGGAAGGAGGAAGAGGAGGATAGTGGAGGCTCGTGTCCTGGTGGGCGGAATGGCGAATCAATCCCCGACGAGGGGAAGGGGCGGCTGCGAGGGCGAGGGTGGGCGCGAAAGGAAGCCGGAGGGGGATAAGGGGACGGCAGGGGGGCGGGTGGGGGTGGCCGACGGCAGTGTGGCGACATACTACTCACCGTGGACGGTGGCAGCAAGATGTCTGCGAGGTGTCTCTTCTTCCTCGACGGTGGCAAGAGAGAGGAAAACCCGATGTCACATACGCCGCTTCATCGGGCCACTGTGCTGCTGCTTAATACCACTCCGCGCGGTGCTCTTCGCCCGCCTTCTTCACCTTCTGCTACTAAAAATAAACTCGCTCGCTTTACCGTGCGCTCCTCCGGGTGCCCCGCGCGCGCGCTCGCGAGCGCTCTCCCTCCCCAACCCTCTCCCCCTTTCTCTCCCACTCTCACTCTCCTCCTTTCTTTCTCTCTCACACTCTTTCTCTCACCCTCTCGCTCTCTCGCTTTCTCGCCCGTTCTCGCTCGCGCTTCACGTCTTGTAACGCGACCGACACATTTATCCGCGCTTTCGGACCGTTCTCGGACACTCTCGCGCACCTCTCGCGCTCCGCGACCGACCGACCGACCGACCAACCAACCGTTCGATTCTCTCGAATCGAGGAGGTGGCACTGTGTCGCCGCTCACTGCCGCTTGTCGCCGCTGCCACCGTCGCCGCTACCACCACCGCCGCCGCCGTCGTCGTCGTCGTCGCCACCTCCACCGTCGTGCGCTGGATGATGATGATTATAATGATGATGATGATGATGATGGAAGCGAGGACGGTGACAGTTGTTGGCGATTCGAGAATACGGAGCGGCGTCTAGGAAAAAGAATTGTATATACAAGAGACCAACCCGCCGAGGGTCGCGAGAGAGAGAACGCAGCGACAGCAGAGAGAAAGGGAGAAATCGGAGCACACACAAATCCCGTGATAAAAAAAATCAGCGAGGGAGAAAGCGGGGAGTGGTGGCGCGCGAGAGGGAGAGGGCAAAGGAAAAAAAGCACGCTCGCACACACACTCGCGGTGGTGCGACGATTTTGTTCATTCGAAATTTCTACGGAAGACCGAATTACTTCGGAAACTCGACCGGACGAAGACGCACGCACGCACGCACGCACGCACGCACGTTCTTACCCCGAGGGGTGCCACTGTCGTCGTACCGAGAGCGCGGGACTGTCGCGCTCACGGCGCACTTCAGTTCCTCGTGGTCCCGTCGACCCTCTCTCCCACCCTGCTAGTGGTATCGACTGCGCCGGCGGCGGCGGCGACGACGCGACGACGACGGTGGTTCTCGGCGGCGGCGGCGGCGGCGGCGGCGGCGACGATGACGACGGCGACGGTGCGGGGCGGCCTTTTCTCCTTGATGCCTCTTTTCATATAGACGAAGCCGCGACGTCGACTGATACCTGGTAGCTTGCGGTGGTAGCGCGCGTTATCGCTGGCGGCGACCGGCGTGCCGCGACGACGGCATCCGTGCATCGAGCGACGACGACGTACGCGCAAAAACGGACGATGACGATTGTATATACTCCGGTTAAGCTCGCTGCTACCGCTCTGGCCCGCTGCTGCTGGCCGCTGAATTATGCGCGCGCACCTTCGCGTAACACGTACGTGTATATGTACACCGCCGCGACCAAGTCGAACGACGGTCTATATATCTCTCTCTCTGCTTTGCGTCTGCACGCGCGCTCGTACACGGGGTGGTTTACGCGTATGCGTCGCCGTGTGTGAGAAAGAGAGAATGAGAAAGAGAGAAAAACCGGCGGAGAGAAACACAAGCGGTGAACGAACGATAATAGACGGAATAATCGAAAAAGAGAGGAAAAAAGACGGAAGAAGACAAACAGGAAAAAAGGAAAGAAAGAAGAGAGGGAAGAAAAAGAGAGAGAGAGAGAGAGAGAGAGAGAAGAAAGACGGAAAGAGAAACGCGGATAGAAAAGTGTATAAGACGGGGAGGGGCCGGGGGAGCCTCTTGGCCTGTCCGAGATTGAGTACAAGTCAATGTACAATGTCAACGGTACCGCGGTCGCCGTTAGACTGCCGTGCCTAAATCGGGAGAACCGCACACACATTCGCACGGGGAATAGATCGCGCTCGCGGCTTGCTCGCTCGTTCACTCGGCTTTACACGCGCACGCGTACCTTCGTGCCACCCAATCTTATGATCCGCTACTTCCTCCCGCTAGCCCGTTGCCGTGACCGTCGCTCTGGGATTCGTTTCAAGAACGCGCGCGTTTCCGCGATTTCTCTCCATTCTATTCTACATTTCGAATCCTATTTACGCGTTTTAGAATGAACCACTGCGTTTCTTTAACCGCCACCGAAAATAACCGTACTTCATTCAATCGCGTACTTTATTTCATTCAGCGAGATAATTTGAACGTCTATCACGTTTGGATTTTCGAGTCCCGAAATGCTTCGAGGTCGAAGACTCGGAATTTAGCGACTGCAATTTTTAACTTTTATACCAAAAAGACGTTTTCATATTTCCATTTTATGTCCGTAAATTATTTTAATAATGTGCTGTACAGATAACACCGCACACAGCGTGAATATACTTTATATCGTAATTGTTAACCTTGAATTCTTTTTCCGTAACCGTTACATTTATATCAATCTATTTCTTTATTCTTTTGTTATTTTGATTTTCTCTATTACCATTTGAATATAATTCTTAGCTAATGATCAAAATAAATATTGAATTTAAAGCAAATCAAGTACATTATTAAGAATTCTCGTCTTCCCGCGTTTAACCTTTTCTTTCTTCATCGCAAACTACCTCACAATTCCGCAAACATGTATCTCACTTAGTTTCTAATATATTTAAGAAATTAGATTTAAAACTTTCTTTAACAATTACAAGTCTTATTATAAAACTACTTGCCCGAATACTCCGGAAATACTCCGAAACAATCATGAAAATATCCTGCACAATCTGCATCCACTGACTAATTCCAACAATAAGTAAAGCCTCCTGTACATGATGCGTCTTCTTAGATGCCATATTGGAATAGTTTCCATGTAGCGTCATCGTGATGAGCCATCTACACACGACCTAAAAATAAGCTGTGTTGTTTCATCACATGTTTTATAATCTATGGACAAACAATAATACTATTGTTATTGTGAGGTTATATCAGATTATATAGTCGATTTTGCAGAAAAATGCTTAATAAATGTGCTCGAAATTCTTTTAAAAAAATAGAACGCTGTTTGGAGTGAATAAAATAGTGAATTATTTATTATTTCTCATGTTATTTTTTTGTTGGTAATGTGCATTTCTATATCAACGTATGTTTCGATAATAATGAGATAAAACACTATCATTAAAGCATCGTCCACCTGTGTTTTTTCTGTTATTTTGTTGTGAAATATTCACATTAAATTATTTTATAGAAAGTATTTTTTTCACGGACTCTGATTTCTATTTGTATTATTTTGACATTAATATCATATTAGTGTCAACAGATTTATGCCTTCTACGCGTATCATCGTGACGTTTATGAGGCATCAAAAATGGTTACTGTGCAAGATATTGGTTTGCAACTTACGAAACCAGTGAAAGAATTAGCAGAATGGAAGTTTCCTTTTTCGCAAGTATGTTTATATGATCTTATCTTACGTTCATGTGACCTTTTTCAACAATATGATAGCATCTTATATTATATGTATATTGAAATAATCAATATTATTACAGACTCTGGAAAAATATTGCTCTTTGTTCGATACCACATGCAATAAAAATTTTGGTGAAGCTGGACTTGTCCTACAAAACTCTACTGCTGTATATGTACATAGAATAGATTCTTTATGGAATAAGACTGGGTATTTTAAAAATGTATTTTCAGATGTCGAGTAAGTTTTTCATTATCAAGTATCTTAAAATCATAATAATTAAAAATAATTTGCATTAAATGTTCTGTTTCAGAAACGAAGAAGTACCAAAGAATTCCAACAAAAAAAAGGACAGAAAGACTGATATGTGTTTCCAAGAGTTCAAAACTGTTGACTTTGCTCAAGAAGGAGAAAAAAATATTGATCTTAAGAAAAATCATATAATATATGATATAGTTAAATCAAAAAGCCGACGCTTTACTCAATTAGAAAAAAGTGTCGCACAACATATCCCTATTAACATGTGTGATGTAAATGGAGAAGTTATTGGTAAAAAATATGATTTTCGGTTAGTATCAAATAGTATATTCAGATGTACTAAACTCTTTTTTTAATATTAATTATATTTATAATATTATATCTATAGTAATATCTCAATTTGTACTTGAGATAATTTTGTATATGTATATTTTGTAGATGTAATCAGAATGTTAGCATGGATGGCATATTGATCGATGAATTTACACCACAAGGTATGCAATTAAGATGCGCTATTAAATTAAATTTTCAATTTTTTTTTAAAGTATTTCACAAAATTATTATTTTTCAGATTTTTGTTGCGATAGTGAGAACTCTGTCATAGAAAGTTCTATATCTTCAAATTATTCGGACCTGACTAAATCCTTCGAATCTTCATGCAATAAGTTAACAGATTCTACTATGCAAGACGATGAAAATAATAAAAACGACAATAGTGATGCTGAATCTACAAGAAATGATGATAGTTGGCAGACAGAAGAGAATTCATTTCTTGCTTCTACATTTGAATCAACGCAACAAAATCTCTCTTTATCTACAAATATTGACACTAATAACACGATTAGTGCAGAGAATACCCTAAATGATGACTGTCATGATATGACTCTAATCTCGAATGAGTCACGCATGGATATTCCCTGTAATGCAAGTTCACCGATGATAACTGATGATATTAACAACACCATTTCATCGAATAATAATGATTCGGATGCTATATATTTTAATGATAGTGTCAGGAAAAGTATAGATATTAGTAGTGTGTTAGATAGTCCACCTGAATCGGTAAATTCGAAAGAAAGGTATTTCTAAGTTTCGTTATTTGCAACAATGTCTTAATGCACCAGGTAATGTTGTACTAATCGTAAGATCAATGATATTATTTTAGAACTTCATCGACAGACGATCCAACGTTGTTAAACAACACAAATGAAACTTTATTAGGAGCGAAGTTAGACGCGAGTCTTGTGCAATCTATTTTTCCGAAGCACAATGCAACAGAAAATACATGTGCGCTTTCTACTTTGAAATCTCCATCGAAATCTCCATCAAAATCTCCATCGAAATCGGTAAGTAATATTACAATTTTGCTAATAATTAGCAAAGAACCTTTTAACATTTCTACATTATCATTTACAATTTTGCTAGTATGATTAACTTTTTGCTAATAACATACCCGAAATATTTACTTACAGCTTAAAACCAATCGAAAACTACTCACACCGGGTAAAAGAAAACAAAACATAACGAAGAAGAAGTTAATTAATATTTTCAAACAATTAAATTCGTCGCAACGAGGTAAATCCAGTATAAGTTTCTTTTGAAATTGTTTAATACAAATCTAATGCATAATAAACGACTCGTCTTTCAGGTAGACCAAACATGTTCAAGAAAAGCTCGACTGAATGCTTAAAATATATACGAGAATACGATTCGCGTAAATACGAAGAAGTAGTGAACGAAGCGCTGGATTCTTTAGGATTTCGATTACGTGTGAACGAATCAAATATGAGTGTTGACGATGTTACTAATATCAATGATAACATAATATCGACTTCGAGTGATGATGAAAATTCCGAAATGCAGAGTTCAAGTTCTATTAATATGTCATCTTCACAGGAAAATTTTTATGATTCTTCGTTTCGAACGGACTCGCCACATTTCATGCTGGTAAAATGACAACCGATAAAATACGATACGAAAAAAGTATATATTGTAAAATCTAATCGCATATATCACAATTTCAGGGAAATGTAAACAAATGGCATGAATACATACAACCTAAATTGCGCGAAGCCGAGCAAAGATCGACGTTTTGCATTCGCGATTATACATCGCGAGTTATGTCGACTCTGAAATCGAAACAAAAAGTTAATTTCGCTAATATTATGCAAAACGAGCACCCTTGCGAGGTGGCCAGATATTTTTTGGCATCATTGGACTTGGTGAGTTATAATTTTTAAGAGAATGCAAAAATATGATCAATAATTTCTAATCAAATTTATCCACAGGCCGCAAAGTACAAGATTGACATAAATACGAACATAAACCTCGATAATATAGAAATTGTTCTACATGAAGAGGACAGACAGAGTTCTGTTGAAGCGGATTCACATAAATAACATGCAAATATTAGGTTTAAAAATTCTGTACATTGTGTAAAGAAAAATCACTTATATGTACCTTTGCCAGTTGGCAAAAGCGAACCCAGTTTCTACTGTGATATTATCAGCAGCTAAAGAGTGCAATTTTTATAAAAACAAAGATATAGTATATATTTGGGAATTAAATATTTTTTTCACAGGGTATCTTATCTTTCAATTCCACCCTAATCACCAATTTATAATTATGTGGAGGCGTGTAGAGAATAATAATTGTACGACTTATTGGAAATCTATGTATCTAAAGGATGCCGAGCGCTGATTTAACTACATCAAGCCGGGCGAGTCGTAACGAGGCGTTACAGGAAAGGAACTGTAACAACGTGAGATTGATTTTTTTTTCTTTTTTAATTGAGACTGGAACGCGTCCTATTGACACGCGTTCGTCGGTTGTACTGTGTGCGATTGTGGTGCCGGATAAAATGACAGAGAGTGCATTCACAAACGCGCGAAACACACCCGTCGCCGCACACCACGAACACCGCGCACGGTCTCACACGTGCAATGTATGACAATTGGCCGCGGTGTAATACACAGAGAAATGCTCACGCATGCGTCTCGTCGTAGCCGAGCCGACGACGGCACCGGCTCACAGTTTATATTAGTTTACATTAGGACAGGGACACCGCAAACGCCGTGTAAATTGCGTTTTCGTTAACGCGCCCGTGATTTTTCCGGAGGAGAAAAAAAAGCGCGCGCGTCGCATTAATCGTATGTCGCAGCAGACCGTTTTTTCCGCTAACGTGTGTGCCAAACAGTTAGTGTTAAAGAAAAAAAAAACAATTAACGTTCGAAAAACAAATTAATATCGGGATTAACGATGTAACATTAAGCACAGTGGGAAAAGAAACGCGAAAGATGGAAAAGTGAATTGCGCGGATGTTATAGAAGTTTAATATAGAGTCAATTCCACTTGATGGTAACCAATCAGACGACATAGATCTGTGTGCTTCTCTCCCCCGATCTCTCTCTTGCGGTGCGGCAGAGATATTCAATTGAAATAGCTGCGTTCTGCCGCGCGCCGCATCTTCGCGTTAATATACGCGTCGCAGTGCTATCGTTCGCGCGTCTGTGTGACATGCCAGTTACTATTATCACTTACTGTCAATAAATGTGTTAAATGATCTTTTAATGATAAATATAAACAATAATATTCGACGAAAAAATGGTCCAATAATTTAAATTAAGCAAGTGATGTTGAAAGTACGACTATTTTTTACGTCCCGTGGTTTTAATTAGAATTTGAAATTGTAATTATTTTTTAAAAATTTATTTAATGAATTTATTTTATGAATTGGCTTAATTTATCACGGAACGAGAGAGGCTGTTTCAGACGTGACTTTTCACAAGAGTAAAACTACGTGCATCGACATGAACAGCAAGAGTGCATTACTGGTGCAACGTTGGATGCTCCAACCGCGCGTGTTGCTCGTTCTCATTTTGCTGCAATTTATCATTCAGTTTTTCACGTCCGTCTATCTGTACAAGTACGTCACGAACGTGGAGAGCGATCTTCGTGTGATAAAAAGTCAGCAACCACCCGTGGCAATTCCGCGACGAAGACGCAGCAGCTCATTGCCGACTGCCGAGGACAATACCGTTTCTGATCTATCCAGTAGAGTATGTAAATGTGTACTGCAATAGCTAAAGAAATCATTTTGAAGAAGAGACGTATTAAAAACGTGAGAAACTCTTCTCCCTTTTTAAAATATACTAAATGACTTTAGAATATTTCAAATTCCCTCACATTGTTTCGTAGTAAAGAATAAGAGTTGCATAAAGTGATGTAATATTATAATCTTATATATAATTATATGATTATTTCAAACAACAAAGTGTAACAGAAAGCAAAATATTAAAAAATGTGTTTTTCTTTCTTTTTTTAATTCCGAGAGAGTGAGAGAAATTTAGTTTTTTAATTTTCTGAACTTAATTTCCGAGATCTCGAGGAGACTCGAGATTAGGAATGTAATTTCTTAAGAATATCCTAATATCGCGAAATTGCTCGGGTTGCTCGGTTGCAGATCCGAGAAGATAAAGAGATACAGGGTACAAAGAAAGTAACCGCCTCCCCCATCATGGTGTCCGGCTCCGCATCCTCGCCAACAGCGACCGGAGATCCGGACTGGGTCTGGTTGAACGCTGACACACGAATACAAGTCAGTTCTCCGCGTTTGTTAGAACTAGTTAGTTACCTGCTCGTGATCCCATTTTCCTGAATGCGCTCCTCAAACTTGTCAAGTTTTGTCACGATGTTCCTCGACGAGTTTCATCAACTATATCGTGTATGTAGGGTACTTGGAGATAGGTGCTAAGTATTTTTAAGACCTGATTCCCTTTGTTAAAATGAGGTTTAACAAATGTCAACGTGCTTATCATACTATCTAATATTTTAATTTAAAAATCAAGATTAGTATAACGCAAGGCAAACTAAATGAGACACTATTTAAAACTTTACGACAATAGTTATTCAAAAAAATACTATCGCGCAATTAAAAAAATAATTTAAAATATTAATTTAATTTGTTCTGAAATCTTCTTTCATAATTAGCTGCTAATCAGTCTCGGAAAATATTGTGGACTGATAAAAATAATTGAAATAAACGATATTGAAAGATAATATTCTAATATAAAAAAAGCACCATATTCCAAGCACCCTACGTATTCGATCTGCGTTTTCAGTTCGATGCAATCGAGAATTTTTGCCGCTCGTACGCGAAGTACTGTCCTCCTGGTCTGCCTGGTGCGCCCGGAAACCCGGGTCCACCCGGCGAGCCGGGTCTGCCGGGTATTCAGGGAATAGTGGGACCGAAAGGCCCACCCGGACAACCCGGACACTCTGGTGCCCGAGGGCAAAAGGGTGACATCGGTCCGCCAGGCTTTGACGGCAGAGACGGTATACCGGGTGAGCCCGGTTTGGACGGCATTCCCGGTAGAAGCGGCCTGGACGGCGTACCCGGCACCAACGGCAAGCCCGGTATAAACGGCTCGCCTGGACTGTCTGGAAGAAATGGAACAGACGGTGCGTGTGAATGTGAGATTATTTAATGAGCGTGTACATTATAATTAAAGAGATTTTTTTTCAGAAAAGAAATATATGTACTGAAAATAAAAATTTGAGAAAAAATTGCTCTCCTATGTAACGCGATATTTATTCACTGTTTTTGTGAATAAAGTACTTTTGTGCAAAATAAATTTTACATGTTTCGAACAATGCGGCTTTATTGTGTGAAATTTTTGTTTAAAATTATTAAATTCCGCTCCCGCACATAAACAGAATTTAATTATCTTAACTTATGAAGTTAAATTTTTGCACGAATTTCCAGTAAGATTAAAGATTTTTATTTTCAATTTTCTTCTATAAGAATTTTTAAATTTCCGCACATCGCTATAAATATTGAATACATTTTTACTTTCATCAATATTTTTTCGCATACATAAATAAATATAACGTGCAAATGCTGCTTCTAAAAATGAATTTTTTTTTCCATTATACAGAAATATCTGTTTTCTGATTATACAAAAACATTGCTCATTAAAAATTACTTTATTAACATAAATAATATAAATTCTCCATAAGTGATAAATTCTGTAATACCGTAATTTTGTCACTTTAGGAGGCAAGAGCTGTGTATCTTATCACTTCGTGAATAAAAAATTAATGTTTCGTATTTAGGAAGACCTGGACAAATGGGGCCTCAAGGACCGCCCGGGCCTCGCGGTAAGTAACTATTCTCCAACGACTGTACGTTTCATTTGTGTCACAAATGAATTTTTGATGCTTTAGGAGATTTAGGTCCACCCGGCCGACCCGGCGTGCCGGGAAAGGATGGTAGGCCAGGTGTACAGGCTTGGAAGATGAACATCAACAATGAATACAACACTCACGATATATTAATACCGCCATCCATTCTGGGTAAAATTTATCGATTTTGGCAAGCCAAATGTATTTTTCTTTTCGTGTCAATTATCGAGTATAATCTTAATCCTTTCATAACTGATCTAGCGTTAAAAATTAAAAAAAAATGTCTCTACTTTTTGACTCGTACGTTCTTGATATTCTTGCACTTTCGTTGAAAATCTTACGATTGTCAAAAATTGGATGTTTCAGAGATCACGAACGACATCACACCGTCAAACACGAGCGACGTGTTCTACGTGCAAGAAGGCAGCAGTATACGGCTGAGATGCGCCTCGAGTGGAAAGCCGCAACCCATTATACAATGGACGAAAATAGACGGTTCCATGATACCCATGGGCGCCTGGCATGGTATGTGATCGCATTTTCTAATTAGCAGTAATAAATATGGATAGCAAGATTAACGAGCTTTGGCGTTGTAAATCTTATGATTAGTGAGTGCTATCACGAGCCATACGTTCAACGTTAGCGTGGTGAATCGGGAACATATGGGGGAATACGCGTGCAATGCCGACAACGGCATACCGCCAGCAAGATCCAAAAGATTCAAGCTTCACGTTAGATGTAAGCACATTTCAATCTAAAAAAATTCTAATCTAATATAATACAAATATCGCAATTTTAATTTCAATTCCTTCTATAACATTTTTTTGTGATCATTTATTACATTTATTAGACGTTATGACTTCGTAATTTTTTCACTTTATGTTAATGTGCCATGAATATAAATTATCATATTAGTATTCTACAAAGTATTAATTAAAAATAAAATATCGATATTATAAATTAGTAATATATTTAAAATATTTAAAACATTAATATTTATATAAATTTCTGCAAATATTTGGCGTATTTTCTGGCTTTCAATATTAGAATAATTTCAAAAGGAGCAATCTTGTGTAAACCGATAGGCACGGGCGCATGTAAAACTGATAATCGATCGCGTTCCAGTCCCGCCGTTTATTCGCATACGCAACAAAGTGGTTCTCGTGCGAAACCAAAATCCGGCGACATTGGAATGCGAGGTGGAAGCCTTCCCCGAGCCGATGGTACACTGGGAACGCGGCGACGGTCGTCGTTTAAAACTGTCGGATAAGTACAGAACGGAAGTTTACGACAAACATGATAATTACAAGGTAATCCATCAAACCCGCGGACTCTTATCGAAATCGCGCACTCTTCGCATTATTTTCTACGCAAATTCTTATCAGCTCTAGAGAGCGTAATTTACACAAATTTTGATAGCATCTAAATTTTTTTTCTCCTCGTCTTTACTCATTTGCTACTTCTACTCATCGCAATTAAATTAAATAAAATAATTTACAATCTGTAAAACTGTTTCGAAAAGATGAAGATGAAGCTGAGAATCACGAGGGTGACTTCGTCCGATCACGGAACTTACCACTGCGTGGCGAAAAACGACCTCGACGTTACCAAGGGAACCTTCATAGTCGATGGTTCGTTTCACGTCGCATTGCTTAATAATAGATCACGAGAAGCCATTATGGAACTTACTAATTGATTATAGCTTAAAGGGTATTGAAGCAAGACTCCAATTTTGTCCGATATTGACGTTAGATGTGCGCATTAATAATTTTACAGCACACTCTGCATTTCCAAGCAAATTATTATTCAATAATATTTCACAATTAAGCGCAATTTCAAGATACAAAATAATCCATGCGGTTTTTGTTAAACCCAGAAGAGAATCTTCCTTTTTTTTTAATTTTGACACAAATTGTAAATAATGAAGAACAATTCTTATTTCTATATCTCTCGAATAATTCCTACCACTTTTCTAAAATTCAGTGCTTAATTATCAAATTTAATCTCTTTAATGTCATTTATTTCTCAGAAATAATTTTATCAATACATTTTTTAATAGACGATATGAAAGATGTAGAGAAACTAAAGTTAGGGAAGGACCTGCACGTTACTTTCGGCCATCCCATGCCGCCGAGCGTCGATCAGGAGCAAGAATTATGCATCCCGCAAGAAGCTTGCGCGACATGCCCGAAGTGTACGTACACGGACTTCATGGACCACGTTCACGTTCAACCATTGGACGGTATTAACGCCACGCGGTTGCCGACGCCGTTAGCCGGTACGTTTAATTATGTCTAATATATTCCGAGAACGTTTTTGCAAAGAGTCAGATATATTAACGCAGAGATGAAATAGCAGCATAAGCGCGGATCTCCCGTGTAAGCCTTCGTAATTCTTACGAAACGGACGTAATGTTACCTGGAAATTTTTATTAATAAAGATAAAAATAAGAATGCACAGAAAGGGATGGTCCGCGATGATTTTACTGGAATATCTTGTACAAAGTAAATCAGTAAATTGCTCTCGAGCCTTTTAATTTCCGCAAGAGAAACGGGAATCGAAAAATTCGCTTGCAACGATGGTATTTAATTGAAATATTCATTCAACATGCAATTTCATCAAATTTTAATTCTGAGAGAAATTCTTCCCCATTTATTTTTATTCGTCCACTTTTTCACAAGCATGATGTGGTTCAATGGAACCGCATAAATGACTGTGAGGTCTGGTATCGCGATGCTACGGAAGTTTACGCAATTAACGAACTAACGGCGCTCGTTAAACACGAGTGCCGGTAGCGTCGCGACTGAAAAACAAAACTTTTGCACGTCAAGTTCTCCAACTCGCGGGGCCTCGAAAGTTAATAACTGGCGTTGATAAATTTGCAGAGGGTCTGATAGAAGCTGTGGGAAAACCGGTGCTGAAAGGAAGCATGGACGACTATTACGGAAGTTGGATGCACGACGCGTTCACCCGCCACGATACCGTGTCATTCGGTCACGATAAACTCTGGGTCACTCGCAACAACGATACATATTATATCTACGAGTACAAATCGAAGGAGCACTTCAAGAACGAGAGCGCTCACAAAATAAAACTGATCTATCCTTTTCAGGTCAGCGGCTTAAAAATTACAACCGGCGCAAACAAAAAAAAAATCACGCATTACTCTTGCGCAATTTTTCACGAGTTTAATACAAATATTATTTGTAATTGCTTCATTGTCCATTTCATAAAATAATAATAAAATAAAAGCCCGCGCTCGCAAATAAAAATATAAAACCGACGCAACCGTATTTAAAACATGACGTATTTCAATAAATGCGAACTAAACATTTAATAATTCGTTCCTGGCGATTCGATATGTTTTTTAGGGTAACGCACACGTAGTCTATAACAGGTCGTTTTTTTACAACCCCCACAATCGATCGACGGTTTTGCGATTCGATTTCCACTCATCCTCGGAGCACAGATGCAACCGCCACTTCCCCGAGTGCGAGATGCAGCTTCCGGGCTTGCAGGTCAACAATAAAAACTTCCTCTACACGCATAATTTCACTTATGTGGATTTCAACGTGGACGAAAACGGTATTTTTTCTTCACACTTTTTTTTTTGAATATTATAAATCAAATATAAAACACGCGTAATTGAATAAAAAGTTGAATTGCAATGGAAAAGAAAATCCTATAAATTCTACAAATGGAAATTTTGAAATATGTTTAAAATATAACATGCAATATGCATTTGCGTAGGTATGTGGGTCATTTACGGATTACCGTCAAATAATACAATAGTGGTGAAAATGGACCCAACAAAAATGAGCATTCAATACGCTTGGAACATCAGTATCGATCATCATCGATTTGGAGAGATGTTTATTGCCGGTGGCGTGCTTTACGCTATACACAGCGTCAGCGAGGAAACTATGAAAATACGGTAACGTGAAAAACGAATTATTTTCGAAATACCTGCAGGCCACAAATATTCCATACATATTCCTAAATCTCTTTTAATACCCCGCTTATTTTAATATTTACATCACATTGTTACATTGTTTATATATTGTTAGGAAAGTGATTATTCGTGTGAAACTTATCACGTGCAACTAACAGTGGAACAAAAAAGACATTTAATTATAATTAATTAATGTAATTTTTATCTTTTATTTACCTTTTATCTAAGTATTAATATTTATATTAATTTTAATATTTATTCCGATATTCCTTTTTATTCACTGTTTTTGTCGCTATATGTAAAAAAATTTTTACACGTGAAAAAATATTTCATTATAAACTTACGACTTTTAAAATATTCGTATTCAAGATGTATTCACAGGTAGCCATAAAATATCGTATATCCGTTTCCGCTAATCATGGCATTAATCATTTATTACGTAATACGACTGAATTCACAGGTTTGCCTACGATCTCTACAGAAATTCGACAGTAAACGTACATTTGTCATTCACGAATCCATATCACAGGACCACGGCGGTCAGTTATAATCATAAAACCAAGGTGCGTACCGATACCTCTGACTGTTTTTTTACGTCATCGTCCAAGTTCTCCTTCCGTTTTTCAGGAGCTCTACACGTGGAACAAAGGCAATCAATTAGCCTACCCCGTGAAATATCGCGACGAGCTGGTAGGAGGTAATTGAGAGGGAGCTGTCTTCGATATGCGTGTATACGCGCGCCGTGAAAACGAGTGTTATTAATCACCGTGGGAGCGTTAATTAAGCAAATTTAACGTGTAACAAGTCCTTTTTTCAATACCATTTACAACCCCCTTGAGCGTCTTTATCTTGTATACGTGTCGCAGATGATATAATTAAACGAAATTAATCAATATATGTGTTGTTTATTTATCAATCAATTCAGAATGCGCAGACATTGATGAGAGAGCACTGAAATGTATACCTGTGCTTCTTGCACAAAATAATGTAAAATCGCATATAATTAATAATATTTTAAAGAATTATATTATAAAGAAATAAAATATAATAAAACATGAAACGAGTATAATATTCCTTTAAATACATTTATACTAGTGATTCGAGCCAACGCAATTAACGCATTTCCGATAATTAACCCATATACGAGTTTATTATTAACAGTTATGGAACGTGTGAGCGGACAGCATCAACAAAAACAATCGATAAAATCTTGTAAATTGAATGCAACAAAAAACGAAAAGCAGAAATAATCATAACGCGACAAACAGCAAAGTTTAATAGCAGTTGGAAAATGAACAAGTCATCGAAATAACAAATACTGCGATAAAGTTGCAACCACAACTTTGACTGCAAGAGCGAAGTTTTTTTTTCTTGTTCGGAAAGCTGTTCAAGGAAAATTTCACCTCCGTCGAGCCACAGAGAATTCTGAAAGCTCGACGGTAATAAATTGGCGGGCCGCAAAGTTCGGGACATAATATATAGAATTCTCCCGTACGATTGATTGCGTGACGATAATGCTCGCTTTACGTTGCCTCGAGATCAAAATGCATTTTGTGACGCAAATCTTGTGACAAATAGTGCTAAATACTTTGCGTTAAATGTTCAATTTGAAACTCGGGGCACGTTAAATTTTACTGCCTTTCCTGAAGCGTGTTCTATCGTAAAAACAACCGCGTTGTAAATACATGAATATAAGTTGAAAACAGTTGAAAAGAGAATAATTATAAAGTATTTATTTTTACGAGCGTCTAATTGTGAATAGTTTATACATGTCCTTCTTGACATCCGCTTATCCTTCTCGTCTAACAACTCTTCGCAAATTGGCTTCTACGCGCGACTTCAATCCTTATATTTATCGTCTTTATAAATGATACATTTAAACAGCACAATGTTGAAAAATTTAAAGTTTGCTTATCATCAGAAAGCAAAAATAACGACTCAAGGAAATAAACATTCTAAAGATTGTGCATTATCTGGTATTGCATTGATTCACATTCGTTTAGCTTAAATATACAAATATGTTAATATGATAGCAGCAAGTTATCTGCGTTTACATTTACTTATAATTGAATATTTACTCTCTGATTCTCATCGCAATTCCAACAAATTATATTTTTACATCGCGTGGCAAAATTATCTGATATCGCTTTCATCGTTCTTGAACTACGAAAAGCTATCAAGTTATATTTAAATAAGTATCGTCTTTTTACGATTCAAAAGCGCGTAACGGTGTCGATCAATTTTAATTAATTTCAACTATTATATTCGTTTCATTTTATTTAATCTTTCGTAAAGATAATCGGAAGCATGATATCAAATATGTCGTTTCCGATTTTACAATCATTTTGTGCTCAATTATAAGAACAAAGCAACCTCCTTTCCCCTCTGTCTCGTGTGAATATCTTTTGCTACACGATAGTGAAACGAAACTCAGCTGGTGCAAATTGCGATAAACGTCAAGTAACCGGATAACCGGGATGATTAAAATGCCTCTGAATGATAGATACGCCACTCCTTTCGCTATTCAGCAGCCTATGGTAGGGGAAATGTGTTGAATATTCTACACTCGACAGATGCATGTTAGTAGCTCGCGAACGTTAGCACACGATAGGATCGGCTTTGTAAGAATCACAGCGTCTGTCCACATCAACCTCAAACTCACAAAACTCGTCAAACGGGTTAATCAGCCTTGAACTATTTACGAAATCATCCGCCTACCTGAAGCATCAGTGACGAAAAATCTGATAGAATAACCAGTTTAATTAACGGATTAAGCATACAGAGAGTGAACTATGGGCACAACTGTCAGTTGCGAAGGGTAGGTCAACATAGAAGTATTCTAAGTGAAGTAAGAGCCGTCTCAATATACTTTCGTTATTACTCTCGCAATTTTGCCATCGCCGCTTAACGCTCGATTGCCTCGTCGAGATCGTCAAGATCGAGCGAGCGTGACGAGCGCTCCCATTTCGTTGTGTTTTCGATCCTTTTCAGAAATACGAAAGAACGTGAAAGTGATATTGATATTTATGTCATAATTATCCTTAACACTTGACACTTGATGTTTCGATAAAGAAAAATTACGTTTGTAAAATTTGAAATTATTTCGGAAGTTTATTCTTTCAAATTGTTTTATAGGTCCAAGAATGTTATGACTACACTAACTAATAATAATGAGATATGATAATATATGAGTCGTGTATAAATTATCATAACAATATGATAATAAGTTGCCAAATTGATCGGTACGTGTAACGTTCGAAAAGCCAACGAAAAATAATACATTATTCATGCTACAACAAAGAGCAGTAGAATTAATACTGTTTGTCCATAATCAGTTGCCTACTCTTTAACTATACTGTTACTACTTCTTTTTTTATTTATTTCTGCAAATTTCTGCGTAATAATGGCTGTCTTGTAGTGCTACGTTAATCGCAACGGTTCGATTTTTGTTTCCTCCGCTGTACTCTTTCTTTCTCTCGCTTGTTCTATTTCTGTTTCGCCATGGAACTCGCTTGCGTGAGGCAGAAGGATGCAAGAGAATAAACGTAGTCGTGTCTACGAAATTAAGTTTGCAAGATCAGAGTGCACAACGTGGCATCTGCTATATTGTGATAATATGTTGTGTAATCGTAATGCAAAATTGTCGAATGCATCGTTGTTCTATTTCTGCTTCTTGCGTTTTATCCTTACTTTTTTTCAAAAACTGCTTAAAAACCGCATTGTGATAAATGTGTTTGCATCGATTTTGCCTATAATGTGTGCAACGATGATGTCAGCTCTTGTTGGCAATGCTAGTTGCATGTAACTTTTAATGCAACATTTTCTATTACTTTATTCTTATTTTCCTCATTTGTTCTATTTCTGTCACGAGAATTGCTTTGCGTGATGTCAAAAGATGCAACGCAATAAATACAGACGCATCCCTAAAAAATGTAGCTCGATAAAACGATCAAAGTACATAACAATGATTCAGCTGTTTTGTGATTTTATCGCAATTTACAGTTAAATGCTTGTTGCGTAATTAAAACGCATCGTGTCTTTCGCTTCTTGAAATCTTCATTTTTTTCTTACAATTTTTTACACGCATAATTTATTTATTTTTAAAATATCAGCCTACTTTAAATTCAAGACGTCAATTAATCTACACGTGTTAATGAGATTCTCAAAATGTTGCTCGTGCTTCTTATCTTTTTATTGAAAAGATTATTTAAAAGTATTTCGATATACGAAATGATATTTATCTATCTCATTAATACTTATATCTGCTATCTTCACTGAATCAGTACTTCCTCATTTTTATGTAATCTGTGCCACTCTACATTGTCTACATTCTTTCAACATTTATTCGTGCGTTTTATGTCAGTTTCCATTTGCAAGAAATTTTCAAAGATTCGGCTCAATGGCATTTCACGTCATCAAGTTTAAACTGAAGCCGATAACTGTTACCTACGTTTTCAATTCACGGCGATAGGAATCAGCACAGTTGACACATAAGAGGCGTCACAACCGAAATCGAACTCGTCTAGGAGTAGTTTACAAATATAGAAATGTCGAAACGTGACGCACGTGTATTTGCACAAGTACGTATACACGAAATGTGGAAAGTTCGATAAACGACAGTAGCCAGTAAATATTTTATATATTTTTTTTATTTCACCTGCTTTTCGATTGCTTGAATTGTGAAATGGAATTTGCAAAATGCGCCTTTATTCTTCCAATCTGCCTCCTGTCTTTCTCGACAGTTCTCTACGATAGATTCTTTATATTTGCCGTCAAACTCTCTCCTTCTTCTCCCAAATATTCTGTTTACAATATCGACATACCAAAAATAACTAATAAAAATTGAAATTTGTTACAACTCCGGCGAATTCAACTTTTGATATCATAGAAGAATTAATTCTATATATTCTCGCACATTTTTCTGCGTTTGCAGCACCGAAGTGGAACGAATCGATACACCGATATCAATTTTTTTTATACATATTAACCATTTGACGATACATATATGAAGTATGTGCGCAAAGAACAAAAAATCCGATGCAATGTCGAATAAACGCATTGAAAAGAATTGTGTCCGATATAGACAAGTTCTGCAATAAAAAAAACGTCCATGTAATTCAGCAGAGAATTGATGTTCACTCTTAAGATGAAAACAAAAAGTAATAACTACTTAATGCGCACATCATGCAGTTATTACCTTTCGCAGAATCATCTCCTGTTTAATTTTACGACTTTGATATTGAATTTGCAATAAGTGAAGTAAGATAAACTGAAGCTACATTGTGGTTACGTAATGCAAAACTATTTATACGCGTGAGCAAATCTTCAACTCTTCAGTACCAAAAATCAACAATATTATCAGCAACTATCATGTTAAAATTGTCCCTTGAAAAAAATATATAATAAGAATAATACTTATTTCTTCATATTTAAAAATTAATGTGTCTTAATTCTTTTCTGATGTTTTAAAAAATAATTTAATTTTAAACCATTCATAATCATTTTGATAAATATACCAAAAGTGGAAAATATTATAAAAGATTTTAAAAAAACAATAAAGAGTAGTTTAATAATCGTAAAATTAACGTTTAATTTTTAAAACAGATTGTGTAATAAATGACAAGTTCTTAATTAATTTTTGTTTACATTTCTTGCACTGCGTTTCAGCAATTGATTCTTATCAATTACGTTATAAAATCACATAATTTTTTGAAGATTAGATACGCTATGCGTATCTGCACGTTGCAATCTTTCTACGCAACAGAATTCATAGCAATATTATGCAAAGTTCTGAGTACGTGTTTATATAGAATACAACTATGAATCACACTTATTAATGATATGCTGTGCGAAACAAGGTTTTGCAAAACTGGTAACTTATTCAATAAAACGAGTGTTGAGAAGACAAAAATTACCGCGTCATTTATTAAAGCATCGGTAACTATTATCAATCGCACGTGATAATTTACTTGACAGATAATTTTGTGCTGAATTACACATACAACGAATAAATAGGCTGAGCTCTAATGCTCTAAGCACGATTACATAAGACATCATCAATAATTAGACTCGTTAATTGCGAATTCCATCACAGCACATAAACTTACAACGCAAAAATTATTGCGTCATTACGCCTGTGCTTATAACAATTTGCTCAGTTTTATAGTATTTATAGTTTTATAATGCTCAAAATAAATATTTTATAAATTTAAGTGGAGAATTAATGATGATGATACATCTTTCAAATAATAATAATAATAAAAAAATTTTTTTTTAAATTTGGTCAAGAAATAAACATTGATTTATCTCTGAATATTAAAGCATCTTATTAAATAAGCATTACATGTAAAATTGTTAAAACATTTATTATCCGGATTCTTAAATTTAATGTATATTAGTAGCTTTTCATTTCTAATTATTTCATTTCTAACTTAATCTTTGCATCATATTTTTATGAAGAAAAAATCAAACTTATCAAATAAATGAAATTTTTTCTGTTAAATTTGTGCTGAGATATTTTGTATGTACTACGTCATAATAAACAGGCTGTGTAATAAAGTGCAAAATATTAGATAACCATTACAACTACGATAATTTGTTACGTATAATTTTTGTATATAGGGTTAAAAAATATTACCGTTTCTTTTCGCGTGAAAACCAGTTACACGTAGAAGTGTAACAAGGTAGGATAATAAAACGCGATTGCACATGAGTTACCGTTTTTGCTTCAACGAGCATAGCTTGTTGCAGTTAATAAATTGCGTAAATGACTATTTTAGACTTGATAAATTTTTTCTACGAAAATATGTGTCAAATATTTTTATCCAGATTATAAAAAATATTTTCCAGTTGTGTCAAATATTTCTTTGCTTTAAAATTATTTAACTTTAAGATAATTTAGCTGAAATTTAAATATCTGAGAAATTTCCGAAAACATATAATTATATATAGAAAAAAATAGTTAAATTTTTTTAAATATAAAAAAATTATAGTTTTATCAAATTTCTAAAATTAACAACTTATATCTAATATTAATATTAATCTTCTAATATTAATATTAATCTAATATTAATATTAATCTAATATTAACATTAATCTAATATTAATATTAATATTTTAATATTAATTACAATTGTTTACGTTTATAAGATAATTCATAATTTGTGTCAACTTTTTACAATAAGAATATTATTGAAAAAATTGATATTGTCGTTTTTTAAGCATTCGCGGTAGGTAAGACTTTTTTTCCTTTTCTTTTTTCTTTGTCTTTAGTTTTTAAAAATATCTGTATGTCATACGCGTCTACAAACATTCTCATGTGTAAATGCTATGTTCTGGTAAAACCTTGGCCAAGTTTTTTATTGCAACTTTCCTTCTTTATGATATTGCATAATCTATTGCTTTGTTTCCAGAATCCTAAGATTCTGTCTTTCTCTTCCTGCCTCGCTTTTTCTCTTAATTATCTTAAAATTATACAATACATATATGCATTATATTGAACTTTTCTGTACTTCACAAATTTTAAAATTACGTAATAAATACATAATGATCCAAAGATCGTGCAAATCTTACGTATAATTTTAGAATACATAGCATTGAGAATCTTTTTATTCTTTAAAGATTCAAAATTACGTAAAACACATATTCATAAAAATATGATGTAGATAATAGACATATAGAGTTACTAGAATTATAGTAAGCTTTATATTTATATACATATCTAATTACACGCAACGTGTAGAATTTTATGTTGATCTAACATTGCGCTGCGTCAGATCCGTGGCTCGCGGCAGTAAGTCATCCTTAATGCTTTAGCTCGTTGTACTAGATTAATCTAACACTGCGTTGCGTGTGGAGTTCGCTGGAATAAAAGATTGCTAAAAATTTCTTCGTCTCATGTTAACAGACTGTTTATGCGCACAGAGAGCAAGAATATGTAGACAGAATAATAGCAAAAAAAAGAATACTTAACGTAATGCATGAAAATCAAGGAAGTAATAAAAATGGCTATTAAGTCCAAGATGTGCTGCGTGACATTAGCATCGTAACGGCATGATATCATCCTTTGATTCATATAAATCGCAACTCTTCTCACAAATTGTATGATAGAAAATAATTTTTTCTCAGCGCAACACAATAGCAAATTTTTTGTAAGAACATGAGAAAACAAATTTAAAAATGACACGCAATCGCACTAATTTGCAGGTAAAGAAAAGTTATAAAACAGTTTTGCTGAATGTCGTATTTTAGTCATTTTTGAGGCAAGATTATTGTTAGTATTCCTTATCTCTCCTCTCTTAGTGCATTTTCTTAGTGGAATAAATCACGTCTGTTCACTCGATAAAGCAATGTGCAGACTTCTCACTCGTTCTTCGCCGTAAAATACTTTCATGACTCTTCAATTTAATACTATGCAAAATTAATTTCTCTCTATCTATCTGCTTATGAATGAACATATTCGGAAATCTTTCATGGAGAATGGTTTATCGATGCACATGTTGCTTGTGTGCGCAATTTTCTCATTGTTACTGTGTTTATTGTAATTCTCACTTCTCACAATAAAAACAGTTATGGTTATATCTTATTATTACTATTCCATATATCGTTATTTTCAAAAGGGACTCGTAAATCTTGTAAGAGCGTGTGTATCAGTGAACGGAGGATTATCTCATACACTTGTGGCACACGTAGCAAACGACAATGCCGACGATAAAGTAAGTCCTCATCATCGCTATTATTCACTCTAATGTGTATGATATATGATATCTTTATAGCGGACACCGTGGGCATGATAGATGATGATTGAACGATTATTAAGAATTGGCCCACGGTTTCGTTGCAAACTGGCCTTGCGGAATATATATAAAATTTTTTAAACAAAATGTTATCTGTCAACAAAAAGTCATCTTTATTACGTTACGTTGATAGTGCAAATTTAATGCATTAACAAACATTATAATTTTGCAAATTTTGTGCTGAAGAATCAGTGCGTTTTAATTTATTTGCTGATAATCAATATCAAACTATGCAAAAGTTCTTTAAGTCATTGAAATCGTATATTTTTAAAAATCCTTGTAACAAATAACTTATCAGATTAGATAACTTAGATAACTTTATCATTTAACAACAAATGAGACTGCTCAAAAGTTGTAGAATCTTACACATAAATAACATTCTATTTTGTTGTACGATAAATTCGATATTAAAGTTTTATCAATAAGTCTACTCTGTATTTTGCGTTTCGTTGCAGGCAAAAACTGTTGGATGCCAAAAACTTGACGATTAACTCCGCGACTAACTCCACGATCAACTTCACGATTAATGAAGTACCATACACGGGTGCGTATTCTTTCGAAACTCAACTTGCAAATAATATAATTACACGCGAATTTCTATTAAATAGCAAAGCAACACAATCCTGATTACAATGTGGTAGAAACCACGGAATTTAATTATGAAAATCTAATTACAATAGTAGAAACTATGAAACTTAATAATGAAAGTTTAATTATATGACGGCAGAAACTATTGCATTCAATTATGAAAATTTAATTGTGATAGCGGGCTTTTGATAATTGTGAAACTAAAGTCGTTATTATATGTCACGTCAGTGTTATACACAGTGTTAACTTTACACCGGTATTATTATCAATGTAATAATCACTGAAATCACTTTCAGTGTCCGGAGATATACCGGCTAGCACGTCACTCAACGTTTACATTCGCGATCATGCAAAATTACGCGGCACAAAAGCTATGTGCCACGAGGGTGGCTGCGGCGCCTGTATCGTGGCCGCGGAAATCAAGGGCGAGACGTTGGCCGTGAATTCCTGCCTCGTGCCAATATTCATCTGCGATGGGTATGTGTATAGTCGAGATAATCGAGAAACTACATTCAAATCGCTCTCAATAAATTAAAATTGGTATCAATAAACACTTTTTTTATTAATACTAGAACAATACAGGCGCGTGCTACGCGCGCGCATTTATTATAGTAATTTAATAATTATAAAATCTAAATATTTTAATACAATTTTTTTTATTTTAAATAACCGTCAAAGTAAGCTTCGATCTTTCATGCCTTTTTTAAGAGTGGAATTTCTTATCAATAACTAATAAAAGAAAAGTGTGTTTATTGATACAAAAAAAATTAATTATTTTTGACAATAGGAATTAATTCTTAATTCTCTTTTCCTACTTCTATATTCATTCTTTACATCTTCCGACCTTATTAAAATATTTTACATATATATCCACGTATCAAATTACTTCACAGATGGGCCATCCGCACAATCGAAGGCCTGGGAAACAAGAAAGATGGTTATCATTCGATGCAAGCTACACTTGCGGTAAAAAATGGTTCGCAGTGTGGATATTGCTCGCCTGGTATGGTGATGAATCTTTACAGGTATGCACACGACGCGAAAAAAATTGATTAAAATTGCCAAATCAAAGATATTTCACATGTAACAAAAATTTCTCTACGTTAAAGTCTTTTCGGGATTTTTTACGTCACAATCAATTTTAGAAGAAGACATGAGGAAAACATGACATTTAGAAAAAAATTAATTTGTTATTTATATCATGCATAGAACTGTTGTGCAAGAATATCAAAAGGAAACAAAAGAGTTTAAAATTAATTATCGCAGTTTTATTCAATAGCACTCGTGTATGAAGTTTGCAATTGTGCATTTATTGCGCACAGCTAATGCCATTGTAATTTTCAGTCTCTTGAAAGACAAAAAGCTGACCATGTTGGAAATCGAAAATTCGTTCGGCAGTAATATCTGTCGCTGCACAGGCTATCGTCCAATCTTGGACGCGTTCAAAGGATTCGCTAGCGATGCACCCGCGTCAATGGTGAAGGAGATTCGCGATATCGAGGTAATAACGTAAAAATTCTATTCCTATTTCAGAATTTTATACGTTATAATTTTAACTATTATTTCAATGCTATTATAAAAATTTCTACTACACCGTTTTTATATTTTAATAAACGCAATAACTTTGCAGGAGCTCTACCAGATCAAAACCTGTCCGAAGGACGGAAAGCCGTGTACGTTCCGTTGCGGGAGCAAAAAATATTCAGAAGCAAAAACGTTGGATATAAAATTGGAGGATTCGGAATTCTTCAAAGTTTATACGGTTGACGATTTATTCGCAATATTTCAACAAAAGCCGAAGGCTACGTATATATTAAATGGTGGCAACACGGCGCATGGTAATTGCAAAAAATTTTTCTTTCTTTTATAACATATAAATCGACTGACATAATTCCTTATAAAAAAAATTACAAAAAATCAAGGAATACATATGAAATTTTCATGCATTTTGTTATCAAATAAACGAAAACATGATTAAACATTACACATTTACGCATATTATGCATTATTGATTCTACTTTTAGCCAGCTCTTTAAAAATTCATATGTGTTATTTATAGAAGTAACTTCATTCATCTCATGAATGAAGTACCAATAATAAAATGGAAATTCAGAATATTTAGAATATAACAGAAACCCAATATACAGTGTCTCATGATTTTTGCAATTTTTTTGTCGATAAATCTTTTAATCAAAATTTATATTTTTAAATTCAGAATTGATATTTTTTTGTTGAAAATAAAGTCTTTATATTTCACAACTTCTAATTCTTACAATTAGTATCAAATATCTTTACTATTATATATAAATCTTTAATAAAAATTAATTAATTTAAATTATACAGTTTTATTATGCATCTGTCGCTTTAAAGTTTGATTCTATGTAAAGTTTTAGTAACTCAAAAACTTCAATGCTTTTACATTTTCGACAAAAAAATATCGATTTAAACTTTAACAAAAAATCCTTCGTGAAATGAGAATAATATGAAAGCAGTGGAATACCCAATATTATTATACAATAAACATTCCCCCAAAATCAATATTCGTTTCACAAAGAGATTTCGGTATTAAAAAAATTCCAGCGTCCAATAATTTCAATAAACATTCCACAGCGCAGTCGATTTTTTTATATTAGAAAATTAAATAAAAAAATAAATTCCACCACGCACGAATCTAATCGCCTCAGGTGTTTATCGCGTGGGCAAAAACGATCTGCGCATCGACATAAACGACATCAAGGAGCTGCGTAACATCGAGAAGACCAAACAGTCCCTGACTCTGGGCGGAAATATATCCCTGACTTTGGCGATGGAGACCTTCCGAAAGTATTCGTCCGAAACCGGATTCAAGCATCTGCAACATCTAGCCCATCACATCGACCTGATTGCCAGCGTGCCGGTGCGCAACATAGGCAGCCTCGCCGGCAACTTGATGATCAAACATGCGCACCACGAATTTCCATCTGATCTGTTTTTGATGTTGGAGACCGCCGGCTCCCAAGTGCACATTCTCGAGGGACCCGGCCGCAAGCAGAGCATGATGCTGCAGGACTTCCTGAAGTGCGACATGCGCCACAAAATCATCTACAGCATCGTGCTGCCAGCGTTGTCTGACGAGTACCAGTACAGATCCTACAAAATCATGCCCAGAGCTCAAAATGCCCACGCCCACATCAACGCTGGCTTCCTCTTCAAGCTCGATGGCGGTGGCAAGGTAATCGACGAAAACGATTTATTCCAATTACTTTTTTTTATCGATTGTTCGCTCAATATTCGCATTTGCGCAAAGGTACTGGAGAAGCCTAACATCATCTTCGGCGGTATCAACGAGCATTTCCTGCACGCAAAGAAGACCGAAGAGCTGTTAGTGGGAAAATCAATCTTCGACAAGCAGGTGCTGAAGACCGCTTTGGAAACGTTACATAATGAGTTGCAACCCGATCACGTGCTACCGGACGGCTCGCCGGAATTCCGCAAAACCCTCTCTGAAGGATTATTCTACAAATGTGTGCTGAGTATTAGACCAGAAAACCTGAACGCCAGACTCCGCAGTGGCGGTCCTATTTTGGAGCGAGGTCTCTCTTCAGGTACGCACAGGATTTATTTTCCGAAATAATCTTGCCTCTTCGAAAATTTAGAAAAAAAAATTATTATAGTACAATTAAAAAGTAACAAAATATAAATATTAAAAAATAAAAAATATAATCCTGAATTGATCTATTTTTTTTTTTAATTCTAAACTTTAATGCATTCACTAATTGCACACGAAAAAACGTAATCACTCCAGCTAAACCGGACTACGATACGGACAAGAACATGTGGCCCGTGAACAAGCCCTTAGCGAAGATCGAGTCAATTCATCAAACCTCTGGTGAAGCCCAGTATTGCAACGACCTGCCACCATACCCGGGAGAAGTTTTCTGCGCCTTCGTCAGCACGGAAATCGCTAACGGTAAAATCGAGAGTATCGATGCGAGCAAAGCGCTGGCCTTAAAAGGCGTGGTAGCGTTCTTCACCGCTAAGGACATACCCGGCAAGAATGCGTGCATCTCGAGTAACAATAAACTGATGATGATGAACCAGGATGAAATACTGTTCGCGGACAAGGACGTGCTCTACGCGGGTCAACCGGTCGGCGTGATTGCCGCCGAGACGCACAATTTGGCGAACGAGGCCGCGAAATTGGTGAAGATCAAGTACAGCGAGTCCTTGAAAAAGAAGCCGGTATTAACGCTCGAGGATGCGCTCGCCTCGCAGGATGATACCAGATTCATGGTGGGTGCCACCATTCCGCGACAAAAGAAAGGTAAATATTTTTACTCGAGAAAGAGAAGAAATTTTAATTTAAAATGTCCTTTTTATAATAAATGTTAAAAAAATAAAGTAAAAAATATTTAATTAATAAATGTGTTTAAAAATTTGTGAAATTGTAAAAATAGCTATTAATAATTATCGGATCAAATTAAAGCAGAAATAATGCAAAATACTTTTAAAAAATTTTTCGTTATTTCGTTATTTTACAGGAGAAAATGTAAAGCATGTGATAAAAGACGTTTTCTCATGCGGCAGCCAATATCATTACACTATGGAAACTCAATCTTGCGTTTGCGTTCCCGTGGAGGACGGAATGGACGTCTATCCAACAACGCAATGGATAGACATCATTCAAGTAGCGATCGCCGACGTCCTAGGCATCAAAAATAATAGGTGACTCATTAATTTCTCCACTGTCTCGAAGAGAGATTATTCACTCACGCCATTAATCCCGCGGTGATAACGATAATTTACACGAGCGATTCCAAAATACGCGTTGATCTCGAATTAAATTGCAGTAATCCATCTATTAAAAAATTCAGCATTAATCCATTTGACAGTAAATTGATATCGAAAGAGTGATCAAACACTTGATTGATATTAATAATAAAAACGTTTCTTCTGTCATTCTCGCTGCGAATAAACGAAATAAGCGAGATCGATACAGAGAGATGCATTTCACGAAATTGGATTTTCCTAATAATAATATGTCACGAATGCGAATTTCATTTCCGCAGTATCAACGTCTCTGTGAAACGAATTGGCGGTGCATACGGAGCAAAAATCTCGCGAAACGCGATAGTAGCCTGTACCTGTGCGCTGGTGTGTCACAAACTGAATCGTCCGGCGCGACTTATCTTGAGTATCGAGAGCAATATGCATACGATTGGCAAGAGAGTCGCTACACGCCAAGAATATGAGGTCGGCGTGGACGATCAGGGGGTCATTCAGTATCTCGATTCAAAACACTGGGGCAATGGCGGCTGCAGCTTCAACGAACCCATCGCTTTCGCCACAGTTCATCATATAATAAGGTACGTGATGCAAACATTGCGGTATAACAAGCAAATATAAATACCGCATGAGCAAATGTGAATACCACATTTTTCATCAACAATATAATCCTACTTTTCTCGTTCGTTGAATTCTGTGTGAAGTATCCATTAAAATTTAATGGAAGACTTTATTCAATGTTATTTAATTTAAACTTGACACAAAATCTTACGCAAACTCTTGCACAGAGTTAAATCAAAATATTACAAAGTATGCAACTGAAATATTATTTAACGAAAAATACATTAATAAAATAAATTAACTCTCTTTTTCTCTCTCACACAACACACAAATTTAATCAAAATTTTATATAAAATTCAACTAAAGTATTATTTAATTAAAAATATATGAACAAAATTAATTAAATATTTCTTATTAAAAATTTTCACTAAAATTTTACCCAACGAGAGAAAATAATGCTAATTAAATTGAATTGTGTAAATAGAAATGCTAATTAAATGATGTAAACAGAAATGCGGTTAAATGTAATAAAATAATTTTTAGTTTTACAAGACTAAATTTTTCTAAACAAATGGCAATATTTGTTCGTGAAAGTGAGTATTTAGATAAGAGTCAAGATCAAAATATTTTAAGCTTAAAGCCGTTTCCGATTGCTACAGTTGTTACGTGGGCGATGTTATGGATATCATTGGATACGAGGTAAGGACCGACATACCATCGAATACATACTGTCGAGCGCCAGGATCTGCAGAAGGAATAGCCATGATCGAATGCATAATGGAGCACATTGCGCGGGTAACAAAGAAAGACCCAGTGCAAGTCAGACTGGCAAATATGCCCGACGCGGATAAGGTCATACTAGAAAAGATGATCAAGGATCTGTTTAAATCGGCTGATTATGACATGCGGAAGCAGGCAGTTGAAACATTCAACAGCGAAAATCGCTGGAAGAAAAAGGGCATTTCTGTGGTGCCAATGAAATATCCGCTCTTCTACTGGGGTCAATTCAACGCTCAGGTGTCGATTTGCGCGCGCGACGGTACGGTTGTCATAACGCATGGTGGTATCGAGTGCGGTCAAGGTATACATACCAAGGTACGACAATCATCGCCACATATACAGGGTGTCTCACAGACCCCTCTGCATAATAAATTATAATAAATTATAATATAGTAATTTATAATAAATTAGAAAAAATTAGTAAATTCAGGAATTTTAAAAATTAGTTAAAATTAGTTAAAATTAAGATATATTTTAATATACTTTTAACAAGAGTAGAAAAAGACTGGAAAAATTTGTAAATTGCAAGATTTAAAGTTTTAATTCGACTTTTAATCGAAATTGATTTTTAAAATTAAACATTCAACTTTATATATAATTTCGGTATAAACTTTTAGATTTTTTTTAAATTTATCTATCTATCCGTTTAATAGCCAGAAAAAATTTAGAATATTTAGAAGTTTATTGTTTAATATATGTATATTGCTTATCTAAATATACAACATTTTTTCTTGTTCGAAAAAAAATGAAAGAAATAATCTTCTCGGTTCTGTTTATTAAGCAGATAGATATATAAATTAAAATTAATCTAAAGAAATTTATTCCAATTATAAAGTTAAATATCAAATTTCCAATTAAAAATAGAATTAAAATTTTAAATCTTGTAATTTGCAATTGTTTTCACTCTTTTTCTACTCATGTTAAAAGTTTATTTAAATATATCTTAATTGTAACTAAAAAGCTTTTTTCTAAATTCTTGAATTTAATAATTATTTATAATTTATCATAATAATTCGTAACTTAATTTTAAAATATTAGTAAAATAAGGAGAAGTTTCAAATTTGATGCTTAGATGTTCATAATTTCATGTCGAGAATTCCCACAAATTCTTTTCAATTCACCTGTTTCTCGCAACGCAGAGATAATTAGTAATTAATTATTTATTTATATAAAAATAACTATTTTTCTTTTAGGTTGCTCAAGTGGTAGCTCACACGCTGGGAATCGATCTGGAATTAGTCACCGTTAAAACGACCAACAATATAGCGGCACCCAACAATTCTGTTACCGGAGGCAGTCTTGGAAGCGAATCATGCGCACATGTAAATATTTGCTTAATCCATTTATAATTCAAAAAATGATGCAACGCATATATAATACATTAAATCTATTAATACCATGCGTTGATTTCAGGCCGCAATTCAGTGTTGCAAAGAGCTCCTCAATAGACTCGAGCCGATAAAAAAACAAATGAATAATCCAAGCTGGAAGGACCTTGTTTTGAACGCGTATGAGAAGGACGTTGATTTATGCGCGCGTTATATGTAAGCATCATTAATCATATTTAATCTATCACACTCGGATCGCTATTAAATTCTTCAATATTTGCTCGGAAACGTGACATCGCGATTTTTAGTTGTTAATTATTCGAAAAACAATTATATTTTTATGGATCGTAATAATAGTTTGAATATTTTATTCGCGACTTGCACGAATAAACTTAAAACAACATAAGTATCGTAATCCTTTTCGGTTTTAAGTTTAGTGAATAAATATCGTTTTTTGTATTTAGAAAAGTGGCATATGCTTATGTAATAATTCGACTTCTTTTTTTATATTCTTCTTTCTTCGTTATTTATTATTACAATGTACTTACCTTGACAGGTCCGCGGCGACGAAAGAGACCGATGTGCTGCAGGCCTATTCCATTTACGGCGTCACTATCGCAGAAGTCGAGATCGACCTGTTGACCGGCCAGCACATCGTCAGAAGAGTGGATTTAGTGGAGGATTGCGGAATAAGCTTAAATCCGGAGGTCGATCTCGGTCAGGTGGAGGGAGCCTTCATAATGGGTATAGGATATTGGACATCCGAGGAACTTGTGTACGATCCTAAAACAGGAGCGATAATGAATGACAGAACTTGGGTAAATGATCTTTATCGCGTTTCAGTAACTACAATATTTTCAAGAGATATAATTTCTCCAAAATTCACGATCCCCTGAAAAGAATTATAAGATTAAACTAATATTTTCTATTTCTTTTTCATAGAACTATAAACCGCCAGGAGTAAAGGATATCCCAGTCGACTTCCGCGCGACTCTCCTTAAGAACTCAGCCAACACCGTCGGTGTCCTTCGTTCAAAGGGTAAGAATGGAAATGTTCTTAATTTTTTTTCTGATAAATCATTATTTACTACAAAATAAAAAATCTCAATTAATGCACAATTTAAGAACTATTCAACAATTCCTTAGAATTTTAAGAAAAATAAATGATTTAATTATTCTTCTAAATTCACATTCTAATAGCTAATAATTTGATTAAGATAAATTAAACAATATTAAAAAAAAAAGTAAATAGTCATTCAATTTTATTTTAAGAATAAAATGAGTAATAAAAATTAACAAAATATAATTCTATTACACTCGTGAGAGATATAAAACTTGAAAGAATTGAATGATTCATTGGCGATTAATTGCTAAAATTCCTTTTATAGCGTCCGGTGAACCATCGCTCTGCATGGCTGTCGCGATCCCGATTGCGATGCGCAACGCGATGAGCTCAGCTCGGGCAGAGGTCGGAAATACGGATATTTGGTATCAGTTAGGTGAGTTTTAAGTAGGGTTGCTATACTTGATAATATACAGGGTGAACCGCTTAACTTTATGGCCTAAATTAACTTATACAATTTTCACAAATGCCAATTTTCATTTTTTATATTCCAATTTTTTCTTTTAAGTTTCTTAATAAAACAAAAGAGATAAGTTTAGAAAAAATTATTGGCAAATACCTTAATTTAATTCATTTTCTTCTATTATTTCTTATCAACCACTGTGCCAAAATGTAATATTCAACGCTATAGAAAAGTTACCGTAGGTCACAAAGTTAGGAGAAAAGTTAGAAAAGTTATTCGAGATCATAGAGTATGTGTGTGATTCAGCCCGCATAAATTCCTATAATATATATATTATTATATTATATACTCATTTATCGCTCGTGATATTTTTTCACAGATGCACCATACACCAACGAACGTATAATTCGAAATAGTTTAACCAGCAAGGACAACATGGTGCTCTGAGAATGAAAACGTGACGTCGTCATTGGCGCGGACAAAACCAACGCTTAGAATAAATTCTAATGGTTATTGTCGTTCGTTTCTTTAATCGCTTTTTAACCAGAATAAATTTAAGGCCTTATGCAACAAGATAGTTCACTTCGATTACGTTTCGCCGAAATACAAGAGGTGTTAGGGTTATGATAGCAATGCGATCAACTCAGTTAGTTAGTTTTAACAGGCTCTTAATACAACTGTGGTTTTATGGTAAATAATTTCAATAAATATTCTCTATTAAACGCCACTGATGTGCTACATAGTAAATATTACAACAACATATCTGCGGTGTGTAATTGGTATTAATTGATAATATAATGTAAAGTATGTCGTAAATAATAATCGTAAATAATATAATTCAATATAAGTGTGTATATATATGTATATATATACACACTCTCCCGAGAGAGGATCTACAGCAACGATTATTATCATATATACGCGGACATCAAACGTTTAACACGTCGACATCGTCGGCATTATTTGCACTTGAGGGTGGGCGAGGAAGGAAAGGACGTAAAAACGGAACGAAACGGAGATTATGGCATGCCGAAAGGATTTGATTCGCAAAATCAATCGACGTATAACCGCACCGAACCGCGCTCGCCGCGAAATGGAGAGAAAAACTGGCATCCTGGAATGTGTCCTTTCCGCGGAGCGCCACCCATGCCACCTCCCGTTCGCTCAAAATATAACGTTGTTTTACGTCTCACGCGAGGAGAAAACGTGCCAAACTTAACGCCGCGCGCGGCATTAATAATTAAAAATTCGCAGCGCGCGCTTAACAAATGTATACGGAACGTTCATTATAGATAGCGGAGAAAATGGAAAACCGACGTAATCTCAAGGAGTTCGAATTTCGATCTCGAGGAGATTGCTGCGGCGTGGAGAAGCGTGTCTTCTCATGTTATCCTTAACACAAGACGAATAAAGACGGAGATCATTCTCGCGCGACAAAAAAATCCAAATTTTCTCCGAGATTAAATCGGTTTGTTTTCCCCGATAAATAATTCCGCGATGCGAGAGCCTGTACTTCTCATCTCTATCGTCGTTCTATCGCGTCCTGATAATGCGGAGACGAGTAGACGGCGCAGAGAATTCTTTCAAGCTGAATCATAACGCTGAATCATAACGCTCGGAAGCAACGCTGCCCCTTTTCGTATATACCTCTCTCTCTCCCTCTTTCTAACCCGATAACGTCGTGAGCTACCTAAACGCCGGGCATATCTATAGAATGTAGAGCGGTCCCTTTTGTTATTGTTTGAACGAAGGATAGTGATATATTTCGCGCTTGTATCTTTGATTGCCGCCAAGCACGCGTTGCGTGGCCGAGCGAGAAAGCGGGCGGCCGTGACGACTAGTCAGACTCGGACGAGATAGTGGCAAAACAAGTTTCCTTTCTAAACAATCCATTTCTTTTCTATATAATTAAAAAAAAAGTAAATAATTAAAAATTATTTATATGAAATTAATAATTTTGTCAAGATAAAATAACGGAATTAAAAAGAATTCGATAACGAATTTTCACGGAAATTTTCGTTTCAATAAAGTTTCTACGGAATTCTCGAAGAAACGTTTCCATTTTCGTTTTCCATTTAATCTGCTTATTGAGACAAGTATGATATATTGAGAGAATTGATTGCGTTTGCGTTTAAAGATAATGATGCAGTAAGTATACAATTTTGCGAATATACATTAGTCACAGAACCATGAGATGCCTCTCTAGGATTTGTAATATGAATTCAGTAGTTAAATTAATATTTCAGGCTTCTCATTTCTAAATTCATTTTCATGATATATTCCGATAAATGGTGAAAGGATTCAATTGGAATTTCTGTCAAAAGACAAAGTTAAAATTAATTAAAGGCTCAGATCTTGTTACTTATTTCGTCAATTTATTTCTTCGAGACATAATTCACCACAAAGAAAGCTTCTATATTTTCAACTCTCTTTCTTTCTCTATATATATATATATTAAATAACATTCAATATCTCGCTCAACTCCTTGCTAACAAAACAATCGCCACTTTCTTTGTTTTCTAGCTATACTTGAAGACGTCCCGTGGTTCTGGGACGTCTGTATGAAAAATACATGCATATAAATTATTTTTAAAAAAATCAATAATAAAATTAATTATATTAACTGCTAATTTGCGCTAATTAAACGACCTAACTTATCCCACTTATCTCGATCCCGTCCAAAAATCGCAACTCTAGTCGCTTTAATTCTTTTATACTTCGCGTACCACAATATACGGCCACATATATATTTCATATATATATGTATATATTTTTTTTATGTATATATATATATATCATCTTTTTTTTGCACTATCTACGAATTTCTACGCATATTCTTTCATTTCTTTTTTTCCCTATTACAGCGAAACTATGCTGATTTGTGTGTTGTGTATGTGTGTGTATATATCTTAAAGTAAATATATACGCCGCCAAATGATATAATCATATTACGATCGCGTTCCTCCTTCTTTTCCTCATCTTCCTCGACATTTGTACAACGAGAAGGCATTGTCGGCTCGTCATTGCGCGCTCACACGATACCGGATCGTTCTGCTCTCGAGATAAATTTTGCGTTCCGGATTTAAATCATTATCGCTTCATGATTTTTTTTTTGTTTCTCTCTTTCTATATATACTATTATGATACATGTACAAGCATTGACAGGGTTAAAACTAAATAACAGTAAATACCTCTCTCGAAAAATTCTCTCTCTTTCTTTAGGGAGAATATGAGAAACGCGACAAGCCGTTCTTGGAGCAGTAACAAGGCATCTCCATTAGATCGCGATGAAAAAATTCGTGAGATCCTGATTTTTCGCTCTTTTCCTATCGTCTCCCGTTATTGACATAATTTTCGAGACTTAACAGTGTCAGACGGTGAGGAAAATTTTACGCGCAAGGGGAGAAAAATTATGGATTGCAGCATTCTGAGGAGATTCTAACTGAGAAAATTGGATTTTTAATAAATTAATAATATAATATTAAAGCTTCTAGCAAGAATGAGAATTGAAAGCTGCTCTAAAAAGTTTCCCGGGACCATCTGACAGAGCTCGTCCGAGCCGATCTTACTTTCGATAAATACTAACAATGTACAGTGTGTGCTCTTACGCGGCCGAGAGGCTTTACATAAACTATTCGGGCCGGTAAGAAGTTGCGACGGTAAAATCTTACTAGTTTACAGTGAGAGAGATAGAATACAGCAGGATTATCTCGTTACACCTTCCTATATAATACGATAATAATATATACGTAATATTGTCCTGTTACGCTCGGCCGCCGGTAGCTTTCGGTGCGACGCCGGGTTCGGATGAGAAGAAATGAGGAGGAGGATGAACGAGAGAGATACTGTACAACGAGGAGAAGCACGGAAGAGATACTTGTATGCAGGACAACGATCAATGTTTTAATTAATCCTACACGCGAGCGATCCCATCGGATAATCAAAGAAACTCGTGCGCCTTTCGATATCAAAGACGAAGCGCCAAATTAGATTTGGAGTACGCACAGTGTGCGCGCTCCCGATATATGTTACAATTCGTGCACTGCACTGACCGTTACGTCAGAATTCTTCTAAATACATCTATTTCGAGAAACCTTTGCGCAAAACCTTCCGCATTAAATTTTCAATAAATAATGTTAGCAACAATATTAATAATATCATTAATCATATCAATTGATTCGCGCTAGATCGTGTTCTAGAGCTACCGGTGATCCTCGAAGAACTCACGCGATCTCTGCGGTTGAAGCTGACTCGTAACTACCGATTTACAGACTAATTAACTGTCCCCGCGGCGGCCGGTCACGCTCAGAGTGAAGATCTTTTATTCGTGTTGTATGATACAAAAATACGTCCGACTACGCGAAGTGTAAAATTAATCGAGCGAACTAAAAACGGAACGTCGAGCGAAGGAAGGGAAAGCGATTCGTTGATATCGAGCTCGCAGATGCTCGCGATTGCATCTACGCCCATCCGCGCGAACGACAATGTCAATTTTTCTTGGTTCGCAAACCGGCTTTACAGAAATATACTCGTTCCCCTTCCGAGCACTCGAAGAAATTCCTTTCATCTATGCCGCTCATCAATATGTATACACTCATTTGTACACGTCGATATATCTACACGCTACCGAAACTGAATATATCGACACGAGGAGAGTGAGAAAGATTAATACGGTGTACTCTTAGATTTAAAACACATAACGATAGAAAATACTCACATAAATCATGATTGGCGTGGAAATTCAAGTTATCTACAACATCGGCCGCAGTCTCTCGATGGACCGATTCTGCCGATGACGACTGGAATTAATCTAATCAATTAAATTGTCCATTACTCTCCATATCGCAGCAAGATATCGCAATCTAGAAAGAAATGGAAGATCAGTTAACCCATAATTAATTGACATTGGAAGAATCGGTCCCATCGGTCTCCTCGACGCGATGTTAAGAGAATAAATAGGATAAACCGAATAGAAAGAAACGTATAGACAATACTAGAGGCGAGATCGTGAGAGCATATCCGTGCGATATCCGCGAGTGATAACGCGAAAAGCACTATTGCGCGACGTGTGGTATGTGGAGGCCTCGATAAAAATATCGCGCTCTAGAACTGAAGGATCGTCCACCGCAATTTGCTCTATCGCTCGCGAGAACCGTGCAATAATTAATTTTTGTGGACTAGCACTGCGCATGCTGTTTATGAATTTCTTTTTCCTTCCCTCTTTTCCCGTTCGTTTCTCTTTTGGCCGCGGGCCAAAGTTCGTTCGAGCGAGCAATCGCGGATAAATAACCGATTATACAATATACATGCTACATCGAGAGATTTTCATTTTTCTCGTTACAACGACATTTATAATTTGACGAAAAATCGAGTGTACGTGTGTGTACGTGTAATATGCACCGACGAAATCCTAAAACCGAACGCCCGCAACGGAGTATTGACTGCATCGATAGTACCGTGCTCGACAGCGTGGATCCGCTGGATCCGCTGTCATATTTCGTAATTAATGTTGTATGAGCGTCGTACCCTTAACTCGTTTAACATACTTCGTTTACTACCTAATTAAGATGTTCTCGAACAGTATACAGATAAAGAACATTTAATGAGTCCACCTATTCGTTTCAATGTTTTCTCTCTTTCTATATATAATTATATTGTGTATGATAATTATCATATATCTTTATCGTATTTTATATTTAATACTTCGAGGAAAAAATTTTACGCCTCGAAACTTTCTCTCTCTCTCCCTCGCACCGTCCTTAAAACCACATATCCGCACATTTTCGCAGAACAATATATATATATTTATATATATTATATTACATGAGGATATGTGCCCGATGCGAACTTCTATCTCGATCTTTTCTCTATTTTACGCTTAACCGGCTTTTTTTTAACAGTAACGCAGACATTGGTACGTGCAATCGTCAGCTACGTGTACATAATTTAACGCGATTACGTTTAGAACCATAACGAACCACCGAAGTGTCCCCACCATACTCGACAACACGCTCTCATCGATTTGCTGCCGGATATACAATCTCTCTTTCTCTCTCTCCCGCCAATGTAAAAACTAATCGTACCTAAATATCGCTACATACATAATTCTTCATCGAACTTAGAAAATGCATCTTCGACAATAGGCTTACACGACGTATCAACGAAGAAAAACTGTTTCAGCGCACAGTACACGGCGCAGTGCTATCACAGTTAATCCTCACCAGGAAAAAAATTCACCGCACGCAACGGCAGCGTTCGTCATTCTAAACGCAATTCACGTCCGAACAACTCTCGTCTAAGCTACATAATTATGCCCAGCTACGGATTTTCAAGGCGAGCGAACCGCCTTTATGCGCAGCTTTTGCAGAACATTGGCTGAAATCAATTCTGATTCAATCAATTTTTGCCGCTTTCCACAAAAAAAGGGACAGATATTCATTTAAATTTAAACAACATTCGACTTCAGCCAATGTTCATGTGGGAACACTATGTCGAAGTAACGCATGTTACACTCGGCGAGCATATTACAGGAAGTATAATACAATTTATCGATCGTATTCACAGTGAGACGATTCGAGTGACGAACAATGATCCAAGATCGATCGGGCCATGCCTAACAGAAATAAGCGGGACACATTATTTTTTACTTTTTTTTCTTTCTTCTAAGCATATTACACGGTATTTACAAAATGACGATCCGTCTTCTTAATTCCATTTGAAATCCTAGAACAGAATTCGTAATCTGCTTTAGTACAAAGGTGCAACATCAAACGTAAAAAATCATAGTTTACCTTTTCAACTTACTGATAATTGATATTTACAAGATCTTTGGAATATGATTGTAATGTGGCAGAAATAATAGAGAAATGAAAACGTATCTATGTATATAATTAGTAGCACGAAATAACCAGGCTTTCTCGATCGTAAATCCAATTTTAGAGATTCGATAATTCATGACAGAAATTCAGATAAAATTTGACATATATATAGATTGAGATATACTGTATATATATATATATAAAAAATAATCGCTTTATCGGAATTATGGATCTATCGACCTAAAGCAGATCGACAAATTTAATTATCAAATAAATCACGCTTAAAATATATCATAAGAAATACTGCAATTATAATAAATGTGTTAATAATTAATTAAAATAATTACATTTACAATACAATACACATCACAGGTACAAAATTCTGTCCAGAATTATAAATCGTCTAAAATGGATTAGGAAAGTTAACAAACGGAAATTTTAGAGTTGAGTATTACATGACATGTATTATTAATCACAAATGTATATAAGTCACAAGGATTACTGTGCATTATGTCCCCAACTTCGGAGCGGCACCCATTCAAACCGGAAAAGTAACAAAGGCCTATATAAAGAATGCAATTTTAAAAATTTGGCAAAAAAACAGCGCAACAACTTTTATATAAAATTATAAAACATTATTCCATCACATACTGAATAAAACAATGCTCATAAACTACAAGCCTACTGTTGCCAAAAATTCATTCTTATCTTCGTGCATACACGTTGCAGTGAGATAAAAACAAAATTCAATTTGAAAATTCAATAAAAGATAAATATGAATAAATAAATTTAACTAATACAAATATTTTAGCATTATTTCAGCACTTTTCATCTAAATAAAGCGTCCAATAGAACCATCATCCCCGATCAATATCAAAGAAATATTCAGCTTCGATGGAAGAATCGCGACCGTCATAACGTGCCCTACAGTACATAAAAGGGATTGTCGCGTCATCCTTATACGCGTGCCTGCATCACAGATCATCCTATTGTACGCTCCTCGAGATTCTTGAGACCCTCAACGCGACGCGCAGAATGGTAAATGACGATAGGTACCTAATCCCTTCACAGAGCACCAAAGGGATCGAGTTGGACAGCATTGCCTTGTGGCTGAGCTGCTGCAGCGGGTTGGGGCTGCTGCTGCTGCTGCTGCAAGTTAGTACCGGCCATCATGGGATTCGCGCCGGGCATGGCCATCATGGGCGCAGCTCCTCCCGCAACCATCATACCGCCACCGGCGGCGGAAGCACCTGGGATAGTGCACATCATCGGTCTCATACCCTGCATACCTTGCATGCCCTGCATGCCCATCGGCATACCCTGCATACCCTACAGACACCAGAGAGCGAGAGAATTGAGATGTATGTACAAAAGGAAGCGTGTGCCTGCGAAAATTTAACGCCTCCCTCAACGTTAAAATAACGGCGAGACCGAACGGTCGAATCATCATTATTGGATTTAAACGATAAAAATTTTAACGACGGCTAGAAAAAAAAAAAAACAAATTTAATACTCTTGATCCTTACTCTGGCGAACATTTTCGAGCTGACTGCAACTAATATTTGATAGAATTATAGCCGCAAATATTGAATAAAATGAAATAGGTAATATGTGTATATTTCTTTTCTCCAAATAGGTTGGTTCTTCTTCGATTTTTATTTGCTTTGTAAAAAGTCTCTTCATAGAAAATGTAATGTAGCTTAATATATTCCACAAGTTACCTGCAGATCGATAATGAATGTTTTATAAATCACAAGAATACTTGACGTAAATCTAAGACTTATCTACGTTGTCTACGTTACAGACTAATGTCTCAAGCAGATCGCAGCCAGGATCTCAAACCAGTTTGCAGGAATAGAAATTACTGCGACAAAGTATCGTCTACTACATTCTCGAAACGTGCGCTAGTGGTACATGTCGATGCATAAGCGTATAATGCGGGAGCCGTAATGGGGTGTCCAAGTGTCGAATTGAATCGTTATCTTCCGACGATTCTCGTCGCCTCGCCTCGTGAAGTAGAAATTGGTAATGCGATTTGTACAATATGGTTGTCGTATTATTGACAAAGTGAGTTAGTGACAATTCGTGTTATCGCACACTATTCTTGTTACAGGGACTTGAGTGAACTGGTGAGGTGGACTGGTTTGGTGTTTTAAACGATTCGATTTGTAAAACATGTGTAAAACGAAGAACGCTCGCGTGAACGTGGGGGAACTTACCATCATCGCGGGCTGCGAAGGGAAAGCCATGGTGGTCGCGGTCGTGGGTAGCAGTTGCGTCATTCCTTGGCCCTGTAACACAGCCGGTAACATGCCATATGCCGCGCATGCATCAACACTCACCTAAAGGATGCTAACTGACGGGAAAACTGACACTACGATATTACGAAGAGCGCGGACGAGTCCCACGACGATGACTTAACGGTAAACTTGCATAGCTGAACGTTCGTGAAATGCTACTATGTACTCAGCACGTCGCTCTAACAAAGCTAATATAATTTACTGGTTCGCGCGATAGGGAATTTCTACGATCCGGGAAGAAATTTGACAAAACGGAGAGAACACCATGAGGAGCTAATAATCTACGGAAACATGTACGAAACAGTGGAAATCTAAGCGTGGTACGGAAATAATCTTCTATTGAAAATTATAAAAGTTATTTCTCGAGGGGGAATAATACATAGCGACGGTCGTGTGTGTGCCTTTGTGTATTAACAACCAAAAAAGCGTGCTGAGAATACTCTTACTACAACAACGAGACCGAGGAAGAAGACGTTGCGGGAACTCACCATGGGCCGGTAACCAGCACCAGTGGTAGCTGCCATTGGTTGTGGTGACCACCCGCCAGCAGGACCGCCCGTTTTCGCAGCGTTCTTTGGTGAATTCCATTGCATTCCTCTGCAAAATGAAGAAATTCATTACTTCTCCGGAAATTACGTAAACGTCTAAAAATATTTTTATCGTTGCAAGTTATTCACAGACTTATTGACGTTTTGTGAATACATCTATTTTAGAAAAATCGACAGAACTGAACTCATATTGCATTTACGAAATAAAATTACTCGCAATCGCACTTACTTCACTTGCTGCTGGGCGCTCTTGTTGATAGTCAAGTTCTGCGCGAGGCTAGCAAGGCTGCTGTCCAAATCTCCAGTCAAGACCTTACCAGTACCAGCTGCGTTGACCGGTTGTCCCGCCGCTGAAATACAACATAACGTTACCTCAAGATATTCGTTTGGATGAAATATTCTAAGCAATATCTACGTCAAGCAAAGCCGTGAATACGAAAACTCAAGTAGGATTTAAAGCAAATTGTTGGAATTTACGGATTTAAAGAATTAAGCAATGTACTGTCTAATAAAAGGGATTATTATAAAATATTTAGTCCTAAAGAATCCTAAACTGCCATCAATCTGAATGACAATGTGCACCAAATGTAAACAGAATAGCGCGGCTGTACATATTGTACAATCAATTACAAGTGGCAACATGCAGATTGTTACAAGCTAATTGAATTACAAATGCTGTGCGTAAAATAAAACTAACGATCAAGGGTTATCGCGCGTTCTAGCAATGATTAAGCAGAATGACGCAATTGTCTTTTCTCAGCGACTTTTATCTAGACGTTATAAATAACACAAATAAATAACATGGGCGCGCTTATCTACTCGTGCGCGTGCTAAAAGTACACCAAGATTATCTAACGTTCTCACGTGCCCAATTGTAAACATTTATCAGCAAAATACACAGATCGCAAAAGAATCTCCCCGACAACATGAAAGTCTACCAAGCGTTTCGTTTAAAAGGCGTCTTTTACAATCCGCGGGTGTCATCTACACTACTTCAGCTTTAGGCTTTTGCGCTGTTTAGGATGCGATACCGTGACGCAATCGGGCCAGAAAGAAAAAGAAAAGAGGAAAAAAAAGAATCAATGGACTCGGCAAAGGGGAAAAACAGCGAGTGCAAATCTCATGCGATTAGCGTGGGCTAGTTTTAGGCATTCCCGTCACCTGACATCGGCTGCTTTGCCGGCGAACCGTACCCCACGGGGACTTGGGCTTGGGTAGGGATACCGTAGCCGACGATCGGCGGCGCACCGGTCATCATGGGCTGGCCGGCGGCCTCGCCGTACATACCGGCCGCTGCCGCCGGCGGCATTTGTTGCTGCTGCATTTGTTGCTGCTGGGCCGCCGCAGCTTGCTGCTGCTGGACCATGGGCGCTGGACGCGACGGAGATCCACCCAGTGCCATACGAATACTGTCGTTGAGATCGTCGAAGGCGCTCTTGCTGGTAGGAGCGCCCGAGGCCGCCGCCGTCGCTGCCGCTGGCGCCGTCGCCGACGCTTGCCTACCGTGCGACGCTCCGCCGTCGGCGGCACCGACGGTCGAAGACAGTGCACGCGGTGCGGCACCGTTCGCGGCGGCAACGGCGGTCGCGGGTGGCGGTGGTCTAGGTGGCGGCGTGGCAGTGGATGACGGTCTGCCGACAGCGACGGCGGGCGCCGCCGCCGACGCCACCACCTCGGCCGCCGCGGCGTCCCCATCGCCGCCGTTTGCGGCGGTCTTTAGCATCGCAGCGGCGGCGGACCCGTCACCCCCGAAGAGATCCGCCTGACCGGCACTGAAGAGATCTCCGCCTGGCGCCGGGTCGTTTACCGCGCCGGTGTTTGCATCGAAGAGCCCGAAGGCGGCCGCGTTCGCTGCCTGTTGGCCACCGGTGGCACCGAGGGGCGGGAAATCGGACATGAAGGGATTAGGTACGGATGCGGCCGCTCCTGGGGCGCCAGCTTGCGCAGAAAGTGATCAGGGTGCATAAGTTAGCTTGTTTTTCTTTTCTTGCCTGTCGCCGGACAGGGTAACAACGCAAAGTGCCTTGCGATTGTTATACCGTGACCCGTTAATAAGTTAGTTAGAGAAGAAAGAGAGAGAAACGCTCGAGTGCAACGTTAATCCGATATTAGCGCTCGGCACGCGATAGCATTCCGTCGGTACTGACACGCGTTAACGTTGCGTAGAATGCATTTGAAAAATCTACCGAATAATCAGCGGTACATTGCATCAAGTGTACTGTATAAAAATAGAATTTTGCCCGAGAACATTATTCTATTGCTATCTGTAACTGTACAATCGCTGTTTTATTCGGTACATTTTTGCCCATAGCGTTAAACGGTATGTGTGATCGCTCAGGCGTTCCAAGTATCTAAAGTATAAGATGTATGATGCAAAAGTATCATAAAGATGGTCGCAAAAGTACTACGACAAAAGGAGAAAGAGAGATGTACAAGATGGCAGAAAAAGAAAACGAAAGTGCACAGAGTCTCAATCGTGAAAAATGCGCTCATATGTATAGATGTATATAATCCCTCCGCTTATATGTATATCTACAAATAATTTCCGCAATAAAGCACTTACTAGATTGCTGATCCTGATTTCCGAATACGGAGGAAAAACTGTTATCTGTAACAAAGTTATTATTTGCTGGTGGCGCAGCTGGCGCGAAACCTAAAAAAAAGAAAAAAAAGAAAAAATGGAAAATGGAAGAAAATGAAAACCAAAGGCAAAATATCATAATAAAGCGCGGTGACGAATGAAGCAGCGATGATCACCGAGACTATATATATATATATAGATATCGATTTAAGCACTCGTGCTCACCAGTACCGTTGGTCATCCACATGTTGTTCTGCATCTGTGCGGCCGGTTGTGCAGCAGGCGCGCCTGGTTGCGGTGTCCCGAACATGTTCGCGAACGGATTACCCGCCAGTTGCAGTAGATCATCCGACGCCTTTTGCGATGACTGTAAGAGTTGTATTTCAAAGTTTGCATTGTAAAAAAATTACTAGTTAAACACAAATACGAACGTACCTGTTGATTATCAGACCCTGGCACGGCACCGAACAAATCCACAATCGGTTGGTTGGCATTGTTGGTCGGCGAACTGAGGAAGGGATTTGTGCTGGTGCTTGATGGCGACTGTACTTTTGCCTGTAAGAAATACATATATTGAAAATTAATACTGCCTTTCTATTCGAAGAATATTCGAGTAATGAAGAAAATAAAAGGACGAGTCGAAACATTTATAGATTAAATAGGAAGTAAATTGAAAGAATCTTAAAAATAAATAGCAAATCTCTGAGCTTTGGCTCAATTTTCTTCTGTCATCTTAAGTTAAATATCTTGAATGACAGGATTTTACGAAGTAATACCTTATACTGATTCATGGCGGCTTCCTCTTCCGCAAGAGCTTGCTGTCGCAGTGCTTCGTCGATGTGGCCATTCCCGGTTTGGTCGAGCCGCGCGTTGCTGGCCGCTGTTCCGAACGCGTTACTGGTGGAAGACAGGGCGGACACTCCCGACTTTACATTGGTTCTATTGCTGCTTTTGGGCGATGATAGGATGTCGGATGTTGGTGGTGTCGATGGACGGAAAGAGAGGACGGACAAGAAGAATACGGAAGGTCCGTTTCAGCGAGTTCGTAAATATGTGGTGAGAAAGAGAAAGAGAGAGAGAAAGGAGCGTAAAGGAAAATTGATAATTGAAAACAAAGGAGAAGAGACAAACAAAAAAACAAAAAGACAAACGGTGTAGTACGTATAGATGTAACAATGCGTAGAAATGCATAGTGTGCATTACCACTCGCACGCTCGCACGCATTCTCTTTTTCTCTTTCCTCTTTTTCGCTCATTCACTCGCCTTCTTTTTCCCCCACTTCTTTTCCTACATCATCTAATATACACATGCATTTATTGGTGCTCTACCTTTTGTAAGAAAATGTAGCGTAGGCCTGTGTACTAGTCAAATCATATTACGTATCAAATCATATGATATTAATATGAATACGGTTCAATCATTTTAAGCGTTTGAATTTTTAGCGTGCTACGATGTAATATCGGACTCGCTACGATAATAAAGCCACTTTGTGATCGTGATAAATACATGTGTGCATTAACATGTGTTACACAATTCTCTGACAAGTAGTACTCTTCACCATTTCGAATTATTTTCACAATTAAAAATCTTGATAGATTAAACGTGTTTCACAGTAAATAATAAATGTACAATTCATTCTACACATTCATCATATGTTCCACAAATCTCGTTACAGTCACACCAATTAATATTATTCTATCAATTTATCAAATTTCAATTTAGTGTACAATCGAATTAAATGATGCATATTGTTAGTCGCAATTAACAATGATTTATCATAGCGTCCTTAACATCCACTATAGGCTATATGAAAACTACGCCAATTATCTAAACATATTATTACAAATTTATACATGCAATATACACGAGCGATCAATTGGATAGCGCAATAATCACAGTCACGCTTTTTGGCGAAAAATACGCAAAAATACATAAATGTATCAAAATTGGGTACCAAATTTAGGGACATAGCATAGGTACCTAAAATGGGCCAGGATACAAAACATAGGTATGTTTCAAGTATCCTATAACTAAATATTAAATATTGGAGAAAATCAACCTCGTATCTCCAAGGTGGATTACTATTAACAAATTTTGCAAGGTGGATAACTTCGGAAAAAATATATACCTTTCCAAAGATAACGCTAAAAATTAGCTCTTTTTCCAGATTTTTTGCCATTTATAAAAAAAACAATAATGATGAATGCTTAATATCTTATGGGCTTAAAAATGAGGTAATTATGATATTTGAAAAATAAGAAACGCATGATCACACAATCTGTGTCGTAATCTTTTACATGTGCATGTGCGATAAACATATTGTTTAAAATATTCATTTTAAAAAAGTTAAAAATGTGCGGGAAAGTGTTTTTGATCACTGGGTGTGAAGAAATGTACAATGAAACGAAAACGATGGACTTTGGGAGAAGTATATATAGAGAGAGAGAGAGAAAGAGAGAGAGAGGGCGGTGGGAGAATTTTGATTTCGGTAGCATTCAGCATAGGAAGTTAGAATTATCCCTACATCGATCATTATGAGAGAGTAAATGAGTCGGATAAATAAGAAGAAAATCGACATACCTTGCCGACTGCGTAGGTGTGTTCGCGGCGGAGCCCTTCTTTCCTTCCAAAGAAGCGAGATGTTGCTCCAAGGCGTCCAGTAAACTGCTCGGTGCCTAGAAAACAATTCTCTAATTATTCGTAGAACACTGTTAAACTTCTCCAAAGAGGTGCAAGAAGGAGATCAGCGCGGTGCATTTGGTCTAGAAAACATTTTTCTAAACTAAAATGCATGCATTTATTCAGGAGATTCTGTCAGTCATAAAGAAATTGCAAAGATTTTCCGATAAAAAAGCGATTGGTACTTATAATCGGTTTACAAAATCTCCCGAATTAAATATCGCCAATTATCTATGCTGCTCTATGCTAGACCACACTAACTCTACCTCATTAAGATAATCAGTGATGTTATTACCTGTCAGTAATGTACAAGAGGAAGAAACAAACGAAAATGTTACTTTATCGATTAACTATCATAACCTTCTCGCTAATTAATAATTATTCTCCGAAATAATAAACGATAATTAAACAGGCCCTTATTATCGACAGATTATAGTAGAATGGCGAGATAATAAACGGCACTTTGAGCGCACCCACCTTCGTCAGATCTGGTATGTCTCCTTTATCAATGCCGACATTCTGTAAAGTAAAGATACGCTTAGTCGTGTCAACTCCATTAACTATTTTCACGTTCAAATCGTGCGTGTAACTTACTTCCGCGACTTTCAGAAATTCCCCGACCCTGTCCATGCGTATAAGGAATTTTTTGTAAAGGTCTAAAGCGTCCCGGCATTGTTTCTTGTTCATGTCGAAGTATTTCTCTGAAAGATCATAATCGCAGTCGCCGATTAGAATTTGAATTAATTATTCCACCGGATTTATGGATACGCGTTTATTATACGATAGAAAAAGAGCATATTGAATGACGTTACCTAACAGATTAATGATGCCGTCATTATAGCAGGCGAATAACCGGATAAGATCTCGAAAGAGGAGCATGAAGGCCATGTTTATGACGCCATTCGTGAGGTCGTTAGCCGTGCAATCGAATTCCAACAGTGCGTCGAGTTGCGACTGCAGCACCGGCAAAGTTTTCAGCAGTTTCTCGGCATTCATTGTGCGTAGAGTGCCGTCCTCCTTCCTGTAACATCCATTACGCAACGATGATTAATTCTCTCTTATCAAATGCAAGAGACATATAAAATATGAGAGATTTGAAAGGAAAATGTTTTTAACACGCACCCTCTTTTCACTTTGCAGAAGTCAAACGCTACCGTTCTGTAAGAGAGGGCCTTCTCGTTGAGGTATTTGGCGTATCGCCTGATGAACGGTGACATGTCATATCCTGATGTAAAAAAGACGGCAATTAGTCACGTTTATTCATGCAAATATCGGGCACAATAAAAGCATTAATGAGCAGCGTCACGCAACAATACAGAAAAGTGAAATTAGAAAGTCGGCGGTGCGCCGGTGCGGTTGCATTAATTTCATAAAGTTATATAAGCATGCGTATCGATTGAAGCCGATTGGAAATTAAATTTTCTGCCAAAACGTACGCTTAATTATATACTTGTTTATAGCGTTCGCACCGCGTTGTAATTTTCAACATAAATTAATTAACACATACATTCACTACAGTTATATAAAGTACGTTAATTTCTTTTGTTTCTTTACTTTTGCAAAATTAACATCAATCGACACATAAATAAAACTGCAAAGCGCCGTTAGTGTTATTAACGTAAAACAAGAACAAGGTGTGTTTTGTGATTAGAACTCACCCACGCGTATTCCTGCTTCGTGTCCAAAGAGATAGAAAGTTAGTCCAGGTTAGTAAATCGTACACATAGATGCCAGAATACATGGAAAAGAGAAAGATTCGCATTTTCCATATGGATGATAGTGATACGATGCAAGGAAATTAGTCGGATGGAAACTTTTAAAATCTGCATGAACAGGAATTTCATGTTGTTTTGCTAAACCGTAATTATTATCTAAGTGACTCCGATAATCGCTGCCGATCGATCTTTATGATTAGTGATCGCCAATCGGCGATCGAATTAAAATTAGATTTTTCCTGTAAATACGTACTCGAAATATCCGCGATTGATTATTCAAATTACGACAGATTGCAATTTCGCATGCGACGCGTGCATATTAAATCATCCCGCTCGCGTATCGGAGCTTTCTGGTAAATGAATATCGGAATGTGACTTTTGCGGACGAAAGTGTGGAAAGCCGTGCGCATCGTGCTGCGATGAGTGCATCCTTCTTCATGGTTTTATTAATATGGAAATAAAGATTAATCTTTCGCTTTCCAGATGAATAAGTCGTGTCTTTAAATTTTAAATAACGAGTTATTAAAAAATTTATTACAAGATTAGTTCATCAATTATGCAGTATGTTCCAAAATTGGCGGAAAGTGGAAAATCATAAAGTTGCAGTCAATTTTTGTTAGCAGAATCACTAATAATATATCATTAATTATCACATATAATGATTTCCTTTTATAAATTGCATTTAAGAGATGCAAAAAAAATAATAAGATATCATTCGTCATAAAATTTTTCTATAATAAATTTTGTATTAAAGATTTTTCTCGCAAATTTTAATTATTTTCTTTTAAATGAACTATAATAAACTTCAAATTTTACTATAATGGAATTTTTGTTATAAAAAAATTTAATCTCCAGCACATTTTAATTATTTTTCTTTGCAAATTATTAAGATATGAAATAATAATTAAATTTATTTGACGCGTTGCGAAATATTCATGAAAAATTTGCGGCAAAAAATTTCGATAAAAATATCGTTATCGTGTTATCGTTTTCCGTCAATTTTCTGAACATCCCATGCATATCTCAAGAACCGTGAAGATCCGCTGATACGATCATCCATGAAGTGATTACCTTGTACGCCGCTCTTGTCGAGAAAATTGCTAAGTTGAAACGTGCTGTTGCTGGAAGCGAGATACTGCGTGAACCTCTGTAAATAGAAAATTCATTTTAGAGCAGGATAGACACGAGCGTCTCTTGAGAGTCAAATGAGAGCCTAAAGGTAATTACCTCGTTGCCGTAGCACATCATGTGATGCACGGTGATCAGTGCTTTGAAGACTACCGTCCAGTTTGTGTTCTGTGAGCGCTCTATCAAGAGGTTAGCGAGCTGTGGTATGGAGACGTTCGGCTCATTGGTGCAATGAATTAAATCTGAAACGAGAAAAAGAGAGTTTATTTTTGACAATTCCAAGGCTGATATTTATATTTTCTCGAAATAGGTCGATCTCTTTCAGTTTCGCGACAAAAAAGAGAGAGAAAGGAGCAACGGTCACACCGGTGCGAAATCTTGCATCACGAGCGAGCAACAATGAAGCACTGACCTCAACCTTATAAGATTACATCAAAATTTACATACGGTATAATTCACAATCATCGCACCAACGACAATGCGTTGTATTGATGTATTATGAGAGCCTCTGGCAAACTCATCTCGTTTCCTTCGAGATCTTAGATTTCAAGTCCTAGTTACAGCGAAAATGGGTTTTTTTATTCGTTACATGTACACTTTTATACGTTCGGCGATTACACGTGAAAGTGCGAGGTAAAAGCGAATTAATGTTGAACCGCGAATACAACAAAACATGACCGCCTAGCGTAGCCTATTAAGTATAATTAAAAAATCTTCGGCCTCTTTTCTCACCTAAACTCCAAATGAATTCTGAATTTATTCGAAAAAGTGTATCGTTAGAAGTAAAAGACGGAAGTAAATGCTAAAGTGGAACAGCTAACTTCATTCTCGAAAATGGGAGAGAGAAAATTTAACCGAGCCGTAGAATGATTTTGAATTATTCTAAAGTACAGATTTCAACATAACTGCATGTAAATCATTTTTCAAAAACATTTACCCATTGTACTCTTCATACAGAAATTCCAGCTGCAGTTTTCAACGCTCGGATGATTCAGATATTCACATGATTCAAAGAAATTGGATGATTCAGCATTTGCGCGTACACAAGCGATCAGGAATACTATCCATATGAAGTTGTACAAACTTTCGACAAGTCAGGATGTATGCATCGCATCTAGATATTCGCACAACGTGCATAAAACTGTGATAGTTTGGCACCCCTGACAATAAGTGTTTTTCGACCAATCGCAATGCATAAATACCTAGGCATGCTCTAGTTGTCCAATTGCTTTGACGCGTGAAATTGCAGTTTTAGACAATTTTGAACTTGGAACGTGCGCATCGTGTCTAGATATTTATGCATTATGACTATTGGCCAAAAAACTGAAAGTATATTTTTATTATATAAACTGTATATTCGTGATCGTCGATGCACAATTATCTTTACTTCGTATGCATTAGATGCATAATCAACTAATCGTAAGAGGTTAGCGAGCTGTGGTATGGAGACGTTCGGCTCATTGGTACAATGAATTAAATCTGAAATCTTAATATTTTAATAATCTTAATAAATCTTATAAATCTTATAAATCTTAATAATCATCACAATATCGTAACTGTGATAATGTACTTAGTTACGCCATAACGATTAATCTCGGCAGCAAATAATACGCTTACTAACAGACTAAAAGAATTGAGTAACTTTTCACTCAACAGAATCTTTACTAAATCACATTAATTTATAAATTTATAAAAAAATGTACATACAAATTCATGTAATTTAATAATAATAAGCCGCGATGACCTAAACGACTTAAATGAGAAGTTAAACGAAAACAAAGATTTAATTACAGAGATACAATTATAATCTGAAGGTAAGATTAACTTTTTAACTGATTAGATAAATTTAATATTGACATCTCAGTGATGAATTGTTTACATAAAATATTTAAGTTAAAGAAAATTAAGAATACTTTTTAAAATTGAGAAATAATGATTTATTTAGTATTAAACTAAAATTAAAACTATCGTCTAAATGCAGCAGATAGCTTATCAGTGTGGCTGAAAATTTCAACTAGATAAACGTAATCAGCGTATTTACATCGAGTTAATCAGATTTTTCATTATCTAGAATTGTGGTTACAATTCGTTTCATAAAATTGCAGGTTGGATTCTATTCTAAATTGTGGATCGTATAAAACGAACAACAAAAAATTCAATATTCAAGCGATTGCGGCCCTCTTCTGTTCGTCGAGGAGCCTAAAAATGGGTATAGCCGATACTATCGATTTTAGTGGCACGACGGTAATTCCGACTTGTATATGCCGAACTCGAAGCTTGCCACGGAGGAAACGCACGCGATAACGCCAATCGTGCCGACTATGCCGACGATGCCGACGACGAAGTGGACGATGCCGAGTGACAATCTACGCAACGTCAATCGCGATTGATTGACGAAAGTAGCAGACGCGTCAGAAGAGAAGCGATAATACTGTAACAAGGTTAACAATCGTCTGGTTATATGATTTCATCACTGATATAGTGACCTACTCGGTTATGAATTTGGCACATAATTGACATCGATAGTAAAATGCCAAAAATTGATGTGCAAAAGTTTACAGTTCGTTCAGTAAATTAAATTAAAAATATCTCGGCTGTTTTGGTAATTTACTTTTTCAATATTTTTCTCTCTCTTAATCAAGAATTCATTCTTCAATGATTCAATAACAATTTTTTCGAATAAAAACTATTTTAAATTTATAAAATAAATATTGAAAAAATAGTGCAGTAGAAATGGCTGTATATAAAAATAAAATATGTCCACAAACTAATACACAATAAATCTCAACATTTCAATAATATTCAAACAATGCAAACAATATGATATAAATAATAAATTAACGTTTATCGTGTAAGCGTTTAGCAACGAAAAAACTTTTATCACCAAATAAGCCTGCATTTAAACTGAACATGCATTCATAGTTATCATATGATATTTGTTCGCGCAGATATGCCATTGTAATTTTTTCTCCACTCGAAGAAGAGAGAAAGAGGCTACATTTATTTAAGCAGCACGGAAAAGGCGCGGGAGTTAAGCAATGTTTTATCATGGACGGTTTCCCACGCCTTTAAAGCATCTCTCTCTCTTTCTCTTGCCCGACCGATGATCCCGCAATATCGAAGTCACGACGAGAGGGCCTCGAACGAAAGTGCAACGCCGGGCGAGCGAACGGAGGGGCACTGGATAAACGCGAATAAAGCAGTGAATCAGCAGCAGGCCACGGACTCTATTCATTCGACGGGCTGCAACATTTCCATATGGTTATCGCGCGATAACTCGCTCAACGTTATATCGCGCGAAAAATTCTCTAATTGGCGAAAAAACTCTATAAGAGTGGAATATATTGTATTTTTGTAAACAAGAGCATGATAATTATTTTATACGCGATAATTATCCGCACGCATTAGTTGCCATTTACAGAGTGAAACACAGGATGGAAACAATTAAATTCCTGCTTAACCATTATGATTTCTTGAATTGTTTTAGCTTCCTCTTAATGTAGTGTTTCCTTTCTTAGAGTGCACTCTTTAAATAATAATAAAGAATAAGAGAGAAGTAATTAACAGATTAATATAGAGCGCAGGATAAAGTCCGTAAATTCCTGAATTTATGAATTTAGAATCTCATTTTATATGTAAACAGGATACGGCGAGGCAGCAGCTAATGGAGATATGTCTTAGGGGACACATTGCTGCGTTAAGGGAAAATTGCACTTTGCAATGAATGCAAAAGTTGCATGCGGGAGCGCAATGAGTAGTCGCGATCCGTCTCGAGCGGCGTGTTGCTCGACCTTGCGTTGCTTCCCGTTCTAATTATACCATCCCAAACACGAACGGATTTAGCGGCCAAGTGGCGTCCGCGTTGGCACTGTCGTTGACTGTCAAAAGGAAAACATGTTCGAAAGACGTTCATTCAAAGTCGCGCGCGAGGTCGGTCGATTCACGCAAATAACGCGCGTATCAATTTTTATCGCTCCTACGCGCTGCGCGTGAAACAGGTGCGAGTTTGCGGAATAAAAATACGCATCTGCCAAATGGCAAGTCAATTACCGATAACGACAATATGCGATATCAAGAAAGAAAGTTTTAATATTAATGAGCGCATCAAAAATGCTGCAGGGAGCATTAAAATATCAGTTATTTGCATGCAAAAATTTCAATATTATTAATATTATATATATATATATATATTTCCTCTTATTTATTAGTATTTTAATAAATATTACTATTAAAAAATAAACTAACTGAATACATACTAATATTTGGAAATCGCAAAAAATTATTTTATCAATCGTAAAAAGAATTTGCGTTTAATTGAATGTTTGTTTAGCATGAGACCGTAGCTGATAATATACAGCCAGCTTTTAATAAATCCCCCGAGATAAGCCGCGCGATATTAACAATCGTCGGAGGATGTTAAATATGAGCACTGGTAAAAACACAATCGCTATCTAGACGAGCTAAAGGGGTGTGCATCGACCAACTGACTGACCGCATGTGTATCTCCAGATGCGGACGGGGGCGTGTACGATAAAGCGTTTTGGCAAAACGAGCGAGCGATTGCAGCCTGCGAGCTTACAAAGACCAAGACTGTCAAATGAGAACACCACAAGAGCTTTCCGATCGAAATTGAAGCATCGATCGTACGAATCAAATGTACATGTACGATATCCCACAATCTCCGATCTAAAATTTTGATGAAAAATTTTCCACACTATTTAAGGTCTGTTTTTTGCAGGAGAAATTTCACGAGATTTTTGTCGGAGTTAAAATATTAAAATATTACGTTGTATATTAAGTAAAAATGTGATACACATGTTATAATAATATAATAACCAACTACATTAAAATATTAAATCTTGTTAAACATAAACTTCTCCGCTTACGCGTTTAACTAAAATTTTCATGAAGTATAATCCAATATTAAAATATTCAAATCTCCTGTAATATTAAATATCGCACTTTTTCGACGAAAATTTTACAAAAATTAAATATACACAAAATTTACTAAATATAATTAAGAATATTAATAAAAAGAGCTAGATTTGTATTGATCTCAGGATGGAAATATACATGTTTTTCGTCCAACAACTTTTTTCTCTGAATACATTTTGAAATACGCGATAAGATATCGCTACAACTGATTCTCGCTACTCCTCGTCTCCTTGCGAAAAATGATTTTACGTCACAGTGTAACACAAGCTTGAGAATATGGTCAGCCCTTTTTCTCGGATCAACGCGT